CGACGACTGACGAGATCGGCAAGACGCGCAACGCCGTCCCACGAGAAGCGGACTCCAGCCCACGCGCCTTCATGTCCTCGAGGTCATGACGACACGCCTGCGCTAGGGCTAGCCTAGGGGAGATAACGACAAAGACGATCGACGACGCAGACGATCGACGACGCAGACGATCGACGGCACCGCCGACAAACGGCGCAACCAATCGACGCCACAGACGATCGACGACGCCGATGATCACCGACCACAACGCGCTGCGCAGTCCGCTTTTCGTGGGCTCCACGGAAAAACCGACCCCAAGCCAAGTGCCCCCTCCGGCCGCGGGTAACGTGTTCCCCACGATGCCCAAGAGCAACCCACTCTTTGTGGGTTCCCACGAAAAAGGGGCGTCGGAGCAAGCAAATCCCTGCAGTAGAGATGACGCCACCAACTTCATCAAGACGACCACAAACATAAAGCGCAACACGGTCCGCTTTTCGTGGGTTCCCACGAAAAACGGACTCCCAGCCAAGCGCTCCCCTCCGCTAGAGCTGACGGCAGCAGCAGCAGCAGATGCTAGATAGAGATACCTCGCACCTAATGGCGAAAGGCTCTCCACGACAGCCACGAGCATAACGAACAACACGACCCGCAGCCCTTTCCTCGTGGGTTCCCACGAAAAGCGGACGCCGGCCCAAGCCACTCCCTTCACTAGAGACGACACCACCAACAGACACGCCACGCCTCACAGGTAGCATCTTCTTCCTGTTCATTAGGACTAGGACGACCACAAGCATAAAGCGTAGCGCGGTCCGCTTTTCACGGGTTCCCACGAAAAACGGACGCCGGGCCAAGCCGTGCGCTTCACTCGAGGCGATGCCTACCAGCAGATACCTCACACCTCAGCTGTAGCATCTTCATCAAGACGACCACAAACATAAAGGGCAACACGGTACGCTTTTCGTGGGTTTCCACGAAAAACGGACTCCCAACCAAGGACCACAAGGATAAAGCGCGACGCGGTCCGCTTTTCGTGGGTTACCACGAGAAACGGACTCCCAGCCAAGCGCTCCCCTCCGCTAGAACTGACGGCAGCAGCAGCAGCAGATGCTAGATAGAGATACCTCGCACCTAGTGGAGAAAGGCTCTCCACGACAGCCACGAGCATAATTAACGAACAACACGACCCCCAGCCCTTGCCTCATGGGCTCCCACGAAAAGCGGACGCCGGGCCAAGCCACTCCCTTCAGTAGAGACGACACCACCAGCAGGAGCAGATACCTCACGCCTCGCGGGTACGGGTAGCATCTTCTTCTTCATTAGGACGACCACAAGCATAAAGCGCAGCGCGGTCCGCTTTTCACAGGTTCCCACGAAAAACGGACGCCGGGCCAAGCCATGCGCTTCACTCGAGACGATGCCTACCGCCAGCAAATACCTCACACCTAAGCTGTAACACTAACATCTTCATCAAGACGACTATAAACCTGAAGCGCAACACGGTCCGCTTTTCGTGGGTAGGTTCCCACGAAAAACGGACTCCCAACCAAGGACCACAAGCATAAAGCGCGACGCGGTCCGCTTTTCGTGGGTTACCACGAAAAACGGACTCCCAGCCAAGCGCTCCCCTCCGCTAGAGCTGACGGCACCAGCAGCAGCAGATGCTAGATAGAGATACCTCGCACCTAGTGGCGAAAGGCTCTCCACGACAACCACGAGCATAACGAACAACACGACCCCCAGCCATTTCCTCGTGGGTTCCCACGAAAAGCGGACGCCGGCCCAAGCCACTCCCTTCACTAGAGACGACACCACCAAGACCAACAGACACCCCACGCCTCACGGGTAGCGTCTTCTTCTTCATTAGGATTAGGTTTAGGACGACCACAAGCATAAAGCGTAGCGCGGTCCGCTTTTCACGGGTTCCCACGAAAAACGGACGCCGGGCGAAGCCGTGCGCTTCATTCGAGACGATGCCTGCCAGCAGATACCTCACACCTCAGCTGTAGCATGTTCATCAAGACGACCACAAACATAAAGGGCAACACGGTCCGCTTTTCGTGGGTTCCCACGAAAAACGGACTCCCAACCAAGGACCACAAGCATAAAGCGCGACGCGGTCCGCTTTTCGTGGGTTACCACGAAAAACAGACTCCCAGCCAAGCGCTCCCCTCCGCTAGAGCTGACGGCACCAGCAGCAGCAGAAGCTAGATAGAGATACCTCAAACCTAGTGGAGAAAGGCTCTCCACGACAGCCACGAGCATAACGAACAACACGACCCCCAACCCTTTCCGCGTGGGTTCCCACGAAAAGCGGACGCCGGTCCAAGCCACTCCCTTCTTTCACTAGAGAGTAGAGACAACACCACGCGGGCTCCAAATTGTCCGCAATTCGTGGGTTTCCACGAAAAACGGACAAAGGAGAATACAAACAAGCCTCGCCAAAACACGCCTTAGCTTTGCCATATGGCGCCAAATTCTCAAACGAATGCACAACGCCAGAGGCCTCCCAAGCCTGGAGAGAAGAACAGAGAAACCACAAAAGCCGCAGACAATAACCGCGGAGCCTTATGCCGTCTCGTTGCAAGTTGTTGCGAGTTTCTTCTTGGCGATCCATTTGCATTCCCCTGCCTTCGTCGAAAAAACACGGAAGGCGAATTCTTCAAAACCTTCGCGGAATGTTTGCGGAAAGTTTGCAAGTTTTGACAATGTTGGAACTTCATGCGCTTATCTTTTCGGAAAGATTCCGCAAGGATTCCCTTGAAAGATTTCGCAAACTTTTCGCCTTTTTCACGTAGAAAACAAAAAAGAAGAACCACCCCAGGCGTTCAAGCGCAGAAAGATGGCCCCGCTTTGCCACTGCTTCCCCGCCTGCGTTTCCCCCGTCCTCCGCGCGGGTTCTCTACACCTCGAGGAGCTTGCACAGGCGTGCCGCGGCTGTATTCCAAGCAGCGCCGACGCCAATGACGCGCGGGCGGTCCGCACTCACCTGGCGCCGGGGCTGTCAACAACAGAGAAACACAACACAAAGACAAAGCACCCGAGGCCGCGAAGACAGAGGCAACGAAGACCAGCCCCGGCAATTTTTCGCGAAGATCTCGCGGCCATCTTTCACATCGACGCGGTGGTCTCCAACAACAAGGAGAGGAGGCGCTCGCCAGGGGAATTAGGGGCGCGGGCTGCCTGCGGGGTGTTGCCTTGGTGGATACGGCGAAAGGAATGGAACGCGTGGCGCCTGGGTGCAAGCTGGACGCATGTGATCCAGGTACATGGTGGGAGGGACAGAAGCGCAAAGGAATGCGCAACGCAAGAAGTGGCAGAACGCACCAAGAAGCTGCGCGACGTGATGGATGTGAAGGAAGCACGCACACGGGGGAGCCTGGGCAACGTCTGCGAACTTAACCAACGGGCAACAAGTCGGGCAGGGAGTGCGGAAAGCCGCCAAGGCTGTAGGGGTTAGGATGCCTTCGAGAAGACGGCACGCGGAAAAGACTACGCCAGAAGGAGCATCCGCGTGGATACGTGCACAACTACAACGCCCTGAAGGGCAGGGAGTCTGCACTAGTGCAAGACATGAAAGAGCACGGAGCGGGCGCGGCCGTAATGCTTGCGAGCAAGCTCCCAGGTAGTGCATGAGGTGGCTACAGGGATACAAGATGGCCACCGGAGCGGGGAAAACCGAAGGAAGAAGAGACGGCGCGCGCCGCGGTGGTGTGCTGGGGTGAGGAAATTAGGAGGGAAATGGAGGCCATCGACACGGACACCGACCAAACCACACGGCTACAACTAGGCGGGAGAGCCCGCCTCAATGTGGCTGGGCACTGTGGGAGACAAGAAGGAGGAGAAGACCCAGAGGCCCTCGGGGTTGAACTGCGGGGGGCCGTGAAAGGCTGGAAAGGGTCGACGCTTCTGATGATGGACGCCAGTGGGTGGATGGGTGAAACAGTCGAAGGAGCCGCGCGCAGGGGGTGAGATAGCAGACGGGGCGACGACAAGGAACGGAAGCGAATTGCCCGAGATCGCCCACGCGGCAAGGATCGACGCGCCTGGTGTGCATGACTGGAAAAAATAGGGCAAGAGAGGCGCACACATATGGGCACACGTTGCCGGTTAGGGGAGGGCAGGGGCGATGCAAGATAGGCTACGCCCTGGCCAATGGGGCTGCGGCGGAGAGTATGAGAAGGGTGGGCATGAGCTCCCTCGAGAGAATTGGGCTGCACCATTTTCAAGGAGGAAGAAGAGAAGAACGAAGGGCCGCCGCCTTGTGCTGGTTGCGTTATCGTCGGGCCCCTCGAGGAACAAGGAAAACAAGAAGAGCCTGGGAACATCGAGGCGATCCGGCACGACAGAGAGAGGGCCCGGGAAGTGGCGCGGCATCAGAGGGAAACGGTGAGCCCATCGGGGTACGGTCTGGAGCAGCGTGAAAAGCTGGACACGCTGCAGCATAAGACTGGGCAAAGACAACAAAAACAGAAGAGGAAAGGAGAAGACGAAGAACAAGACGAGAGGGAGGCGAAGAAGGAGCGGAAACAAGAAGAGCAGGGGGAAGCGGATAAGGAGGGCGCACGCACCCAAACCAACACCGGCAGAAAAGCGGAGACGGATAAGAGTGGCGAGCTTGTGGAATTGGACGCCCAGGGGGCTCAAGAGTGCGCCGAAGAAGATTAAGCAAGGGAAGAGGACCGCCGAAGGAAAGGGCTGCCGATGCAGGATGGACACAAAGGCGACTGACCAAAAAGGCACGCGCGAGGGAACAGAAGAAAAAGCCCCTCCCTCAAGCCCTTCCCTCCGGTGCCCTTCCCCACCTCCTATAAGAGTCCGGCGCGAGCTCTTTCTGGGCATCCAAATGCGCAGCTTCATCCTTGCGAGGGCGAGGGGGGTCGTTAGGGATAAAATTCCAAACCCGTCGTCCTGTTTTGCCAAGTCCCATCCAATGGCCCCTCCTCCGCGCCTGTCCCTGCCTTCTCTTGCCTTGTGTTCTTCTTCTCCGTTCTTCTTCTACTCTTTTTCCCTGCTGTGGTCGAGTGCTTCCCCTCGTCCTTTTGGGGGGGGAAATGGCGAGGGTCCCCGCCTCCTTCTCATGCTGAGCCCGTGGCGACGGACAGTGTCCCCGCGGCCAGTTTTTGGCTGTTTTTGAGTCCTGCGATGGCGCGCGTGGACGCAGGGCCAGCGGCGGCATTTTCCCGCCACTTCCTGCCTCTTCTCATGGTTTCCGCTCTCTCTGGGGTCACCTTCCTGAGGGCTCTCTTCTTCTTCTTTCTCTATCTCTTCCCTCTCTTCGTCTTCTTATTCTTGAGGGCACACCGCCAACACGGCAGGGCGCAGCTTTACGTCGTGCCCGGGACCGTCAACGCTCATGCTTATATTAGTGGGACTAGACTAAAACGCTTGCCCTTTGTCGGGTCGGATTGCTGCTCAGGTTGTGCGAATTTGTCTAGTTGCCTGCGTAAGAGTTTCAAACCCGGCACGGGAGACCCTGCTCTCTGAAGCTTCGCTTTCCGGTGGCCCAGTTTCTATCTTCAAAAAACTCGCACCAGGTCTCCTTAAACTAACTGACGCCCAAGCCTGAACCTAGAACGGCCTCGGCCTTACCAGGCAAAGGCTACCGGCACAGCAGAAACAGAATAAGACTCCAGGGCGGTGCATATGCTCAGACGGAACCACACTGGAAGCAGCTGACAACGAACTTGGCCAGACTCATCCTCAGTCCTTGTTCGTTGCGCTGAGCGCGGCAGACGTCTGGTGGTTGGATTTTGGCCCTTTCACTTCCAATGCGGCACACACGAAGGCAAGAGCCTGCCCCGAGCAAGAAGAACGGCCGACGCCTCCAGGCCCCGCTCCGTTGCACTTCCTCGGCCGAAAACGCAGAGCGCAGGCGCCTCCCCTTAGCCACTTTCATTGCGACACACACTAAAACCAACGCCGGCGCCAAACTGGCACACCAGCATCAGATTAGCACGCGGGCGGCCGTCTTGCAGGGGAAGAGAACAGACCAACCGCTGAGGGAATAAACCCTCACAAAACCCCACACAAGGAGGCAGAAAGAAAAGCCAAAACCTGCCGTAAATACGCCACGCCCTCGGCTTCACGCAACGCGCGTCGGCGAGAGAAAGACCAGACGCGGCCCACCCGCCGACGAACACTGCAATCAAGAGGCCAAGAAAAAGGCCGGGTAATGCCACTCATCCAGAAAGGATGGTGGGGACAGGGGGGGGCAACACTAGAGCCGCGAAGGCTGTTGCTTTTAACACTAGTGAGCCACTTCTCGCAGCTGAGTCGTGGACACCATAACAGCCGAAAGAGAGCACATCCGGCTCGCTTGTTTCGCCCCTGCTGTCACTGCACATAGACCTTGCTTAATGGCGTAGGCAGGACGAACTACAGGAGCCGGAAAAAAAAAGCCAGCGGCGACTACGTTGCAGAGCCCAAAAGCCTGCCGAAGAAGAAGCGAACAAACGAGCTCGCCCCGGGCGAATAACTTCCATACAGCAAAACAGGACACGCTGCGAGATAGGGCAGTGAGGCTTGCTTCTATCTTTGCGAACCTCTCTCGCGGCGTTTGTCAGATTTGTCTGTAAGCCTCTCCCACTGGAGATCTGCGTTGCTACTTACGTCGCACGCTGGCGATCTGCAACTGCATCTGCTTCTGCGAAGGTACTAACTAAGCAAGAAACCTGGTCTCTGCATTAAGACACGCCGCCACCATCGCCACTACACCTGTGTCCGTAGTCACTCTCCTCACTCACTTACTCAAACACAAAGACTCACTCCGTGCCGTCTAACGTCAATGCGCGGGGCAGAGTGTGTTCAGGATGAATTGAACGACACTCGCCTGCAGAATTTCAGTTTTCATGTGTTGATGCTTTGTGTATGATCTGCTACGGAAGCTCCGATACGCGGGAAGAATGCGCAGATTTGTAGACTCCATCTTATTTTTCGCCAGAATATTCCATAGCCTAATCAGAGGAGATGTGCGGTGATCCTTGTATGCACGAAACCACCCACCGTTATTGAATGGATGATCATTTGTTTCGTGCCACAAGTACGTGCCCGACGAGATGACAGCAGCCGAGCCGCTGTTTGACTGAAGCGCATGCGCGTACTTCTGTAGACTATCGTTGTACATCTGCGATGTCCACTGGTGAGCACCATCTGCGGGATGCTGACCGAAATTTGAGATGATTAGGTCTGCCTCGTCCCTCAACGCACCGCTCCGGACTCTCAGTTCCTCGGGGAGGCGCTTGCCGAAGGGATCGTTGAACACGCACACCTTCAACCGCGGGCAAGCCTTGCTGCCTGTGCTGCACGAATCCTGATGCCATTGCCCCCGCGGAGCATCTGCCCCGCACGCGTAGGTAACAATCGCATTGTAGAGCTGCCGCATGTGGGAATCACCCCAGAGCGATACGCTCTTCCCCTCCAGGCACGACTTTGCTGCACCCTTGCTGTAAGTCGGTATGTGGCATCGCCAGGGTACCCAAGTAAACTCATCTTGTATACTCCCATACATTGCTGCTCGCGTAAAGTTTCCCGCTGAGGGTCGTTTGGAGTACACCCATCGGCCATCGCCAAACTCAGAAGGCCTCTCGGAGAAATCACACGACGCGAGGGGCCGGGACTTTTCATCCGTACCATTCATCAACGCTTGCCATTTATGGACCGCATTCGAAGGATCCCCAAGAACAATCGAGACCCGTGAGCCTAGTACATCGTCGTCGTTGCCAGGCAACCACCGAGGGTTCAACTCATCTACACGCGCGCATCTTGATGCTTGGCTCCAGAATTCGACCCGATAGGTTGCCGGAATCGAGATCCGGAACGGCAGGTTGTAAGTGCAGTCACCCAAATAGCGGCTATCCATGGACAACTCGTGAATTTCTGGCCCATACAACAGAAATTCAAACTCGTCAGGGCCCGTAATGTTGTTTACCATCTGGGCCCACGCAGGATTTCGAGTGTACAAACGGCAAGAACGGCAAGCAAGTCGTTTGACCTGGAAGAGTCCACTCATTTTGTCAGAAGAGTCCAGACACAACCAGACCCGAAACGAATCCGTGACATTTTGGGGCGCCTCTTCGCCGTTGAAACGGGCCATATTAGACATTCCGCGCGGGCCTTTCCCCCGAATATTTTCGACATCTGTGTGCGCGTCTGTGGATCCTTGCAGCAATCTCCATCCACTGGGACACGCTCCAACAGGCGACAGAGCGGAGGCGGGCTTCTTCAGAAGAGAACCGGCCGCGCCGCTCGGAGCAGCACCAACAAGAGACGACGACTCCGTCGTCGTGGTGCACCCTTCTATTTCCAATCTGTTTGCGGTGGCTTCCAGGTCCGCATTAACCTTCTGCAACAGCCCCACTTTTTTGCGCAGGCGTTCAACGGCATCTCGCATCTGCGACCGTGAAACACCAGGCGAACGAGGATCGAAAGTCTCGACTTCGTCAGACGTGAAGCGGCCCCCCTTACCGTTCTCAGACGTGAGCAAACCGCCCCCCCATCTTTGAGCCGAGGAGCGGTCGCGGAAATGTCTTGCCGATGCGGAGCCTGGCTGGTGGAATAACCTCCACCGCCGTGTCCATGAGAGGAGGAAGAAAGACACCCCGAACACGAGCATGGAGCAGGCTGACGAGAGAAAAAGCACCACTCATAAGGACCAAACCAACACCGGCCCGGCGCTGCTAATAGCAGGCCCGAACACGCCACCCATGAGGCGTCCAAGCAAATACTTTATGCTAAGCTATGTATCATCCTGAGCGGCGTCGGGCATCCAGCATGCCGGGCATAGTAGGAAAAGAAGGGGGCATAGTAGGAATCTCGAAGAATGCAGCACCAGAACAATTTCTACAAGCGCGGCCGCTACCTACCACCCACCATTTTTGTGCAACGTGAACAGCCCCAGAGCAAAAATATAGTCTACTCCCCGCTCACCCTTCCTAGTGTAACCCGCGTTGATTTGAGAGAGAGGACGAGGAAACAAGGGGTGCAGCTAAGTGAGAGAGACGGCCACGACGAACAAGCGCGAAAAGAGAGACAACAAAAGACACACGGAAAAACGACACCGGTGGCCGTACCGCCCACGCAGTCCGAGAGAATGACGCCGCGGCAGACTCACTGCTCGCTGTCTAGAAGATTTTTATGCATGACGAGAGCGGCAAGCGCACTGGCAGACTTGTTCAGAAACAAAGACCCAAACAGCAACAACCGCTAAAGAACAAGCGTAGACAATAAAGGAACGAGAGTCCGGAACAAGAGCGAGAAGGCGGACCAAAGAGAGAAAGGAGCGCCCCTGTCGCCGCGCCAGCGACTCGAAACCACCGACAGAAAACCACAAGCGAGACCAAGCACCGAGAAAGCAGCGGCCGCCTGCCAAGGGGAGTGCTGTCACAAGTCTACTAGCGTAGAGGCCTGCCCCGTCACCTCCTCAAAGACAAATGACCACGGGGAAAGCTGAGAGAATCGAGCATAAGAACGAAGGAGCAGGAAAAACAGAAAGGCGAACGCAGTACGAGGACGAAAGCAGCTAGAAAATACAGGAAAACTCTAGTTTCAAAGAACGAAGAACTGTCCACACTATTCACCAGACTGCAAAATTGATGCGCAAGACAATCAGAGACAGACGAGAGCAGTCGAACCGACAGTAGAGTCGTGGTCGGCCATCAAGCTCCAAACAAGGGCTACAGACGTAACATTCTGATCACCGATCTTCTTTTAAGTATCAAACCCCGAGTCAAAATGTTAAAAATGAAGCTGTTGACTCGCTCCTGTAGCAGCGATATTAAGTAGCAAATCTAGAAGGGCTAATAAATTCACGACGGCGTGAATCATAAGGTCAATAATTATCAAGTATTTCTCACGTCAAACAGCTAGGCATTGTTCTACAGCGCCGCCAATACATATCCACTAACCAAGCCGGAGATGGAGATTGGGGAGGCGGAGTATGGTATCATAAACAGTTCTAGTTCGTGATCAAAGTTTAAGTTGTCATCCAGTGGTTGCTGAAATTGAAAAATTTATATATTTATAAGTAAAAGGATCAAGGACCACGGAGTGCAACTTCTATCTAAGCATTGCAGCGTTTGCGAGAATGTGAATGAAGCGAGACAATAGTAGGTCTCCGCTGGATTCGGCTCTCTGCTCGCGTTTCGGAGCTGCTGGGCCCATTTTGAAGCCAGTTCGATAGTGCCGTGTAGTGGGCGACTCTGATTACTTTTGGCAAGTCTACTTCCAATGATATATTCCATTTATTACACGCAGCTCTCCTCGTGTGGAGGGACCACGTGAGGAGCAGTGATGTCGCAGAGCTGTCCCTCAATTGAGGAGCGTTGGGGGTAGAGAATGTCAAGGGCGCGGTCGGCTTTGCGCCAGGCATGGAAGCTCGCATAGAGAGTGTAGTTAGATGCAATGCGCCTAAGGAAAACGCCAACATCCTCGATTGTGTCGAAACTATCAATATTAATATAGGAATTCGGGGGCGCGCGGTGGGAGTAGTGGACGAGTTTGCGCGGGTCGCGCACCAGGGGTATGCCGCCCGATAGAAGCCCGACCGCGAGCTTTTCAGACACGTACCCAGTACAAGGCGCGTTCTCCATTGATGAGTAGAACAGTGTGCTAAGCTTTGACGTACACGGCGTGCCGCGCCCGTCCGCTCTCACTATCGGCGCACTCGCCTCGCGCCCGGCAATTTCTTCCATGTCCTTGTACCAGGGACCTCCTTCACAGGCAGACGGCATGTTTCTAAGACATTTGCAAGGCGCATGCACAGGGTACACCTTTGAGAGCTCCCACACCTTAGCCACGCGTGATCCACGGCAATTCCCCTGGCAAAAGTAAATAGCCCGCTCGCGTTCTCGAAAGTTCCTTTGTGGGTCGAAGTTCTGAACGAGTTTTGCTACAGCTTTTCCACTTCGGTCCCATATTTCCCGCCCGACTGGGGCGAATCCAGCGCACTGCACACCATAGCCCCAACAGAAGTCGAAGCGCTGGCGCTCAGTTTGCCTGCTGGTTTCGAAATTTGGTGGCTCGTGGGAAAACCAGCCTAGCCTTTTCACTGTCAAGCTAGTTCCTGCCGGATGCTCCTGGCGCCACGCGAGAGCCCTCTTGAGCGTCTTCTTTCCTGCTGCGTTGATTTCTATCACAGCTATTGCAGCATCCGATAACCCTCGAGCCAGAGCCACCGAGCGATTACAACTAGGAAGAAACACAGAAGCCACCCCTGTGTCCTTGGTGCGCTCCGTGATATACTCTAGTGCCGAACAGTAACGGGTTAGGAACTTTATCTTGATGGGGTCTGCGGAGTAAGAAGCAACCCCCAGGAGGGTCGTCGGTCGCACTGGGCTCGATATGATCTGCTGAGCCCGGTAGACGCAGGCCAACAATATGAAACCTACGCACAAAAGGAAAAGCGCGCAACGATAGCGAAATTCGCTGCGGCGTCCCGAGATGAACATTGTGACGATACCTGGCTTAGCTCCTTCCGGTCCCCAGCTTGTCAGCGTCACCGGGGACTCGTTGTTGGTCGCGCCCTAGCTAGCCAGCAGTATACCCCGAAAGGGCGCTCGGCGGTGGATCTCTCTGGCCCGTGTTTGCTTCGCCAGCGACGTCAGCAGATGTGATAACGAGCTCCGTCGTCTCTAGATGTCGCCGCATGAAGTTGTGCTCAAACATTTCCACAAGCCGCATGCCCGGTCGGTCCCCGAATTTGCTAGGTGCAGCAGCTATTGAGCGAAAAAGTGCACTCACACTCAGAAAATGGAAAAAGCTTCTAGTATGGCTTTGCTAATTGGTTAACTATGTAAGCAGGCCACCTCTACCAGCTAGTTTTTAGCGACTAGGCAGGCCCGACCTTCGGCACCGCGGCAGCGATTTCGGCACCAAGATCTGGGGGGCACGCCTGCAGCCAGGCGTCTGGAGAGTGGGAGGCTGAAGGCCCAAAAGAAATTTATTACTTCGACCGAAGTAAGGCAGGGCTGTGCGGTGAATGAACCTGCAGCGCCAGGTGTCGCCGCGGAACAATCTCCCAGCAGGTTTCTCACTTTGATCTTGTTCCAAACGTTTAGGCCCATCAGATGCGCACCACTTGCCTTCAAACCTGCAGGCCTGCCAGGCAGATCCAGGCGCCGTCATCGCTACCGCGCCGTCGAAGACCCTAGCCCTTCGCCCCTACCCGGACAGAAAGTAACTACAACTAGCTACTTGGCGCTACCTAAAGAGGCCACTCATTGCTTCCTAGCTCGGTACGCTAAACGTTTCCACTTTTTGAGTGTGGGCGCCCTTTTTTCTTCGATAACAGCGGCTGAATGCTTTCACTTCTGGTGGATGGTGTGCTCCCTGAGTGCCGAGGGGCCAACACCGCATAACCAACAAGGGACATCCAGAGAAAATAGACAAAAGAAGAGCAAAAGGCTGAAGACGCTGAGGCACGAGCCTGGGCAACGTCAGGGGAAAAACGTGATCACCCCCAAGCCTGTCTGGATTATCCTCTGTAGCTATCATTGCGCAAGTAAATAAGTAAGAGCGCAGGCGCATGCGTTCCTGAATCGTGGTAAACACAAGTCCACAAGCAGCCCTGGCCGGTGCTCGGGTGCTCAGGCTGGTACCTTGGTGCTCTGTGTGGTTTAATTTTTGGCACTCACTCTCCGGCGGTCGGGTGCCCTGGTGCACAATCTGGCGCGCAGCGGGCGTCGAGAGTTGTACGTGGGCGCGGACGGCCATCTCGATGCCCGTAAGCTTGCCGCCCTCCTTAAGGTCACTCAGCGCACTGGTTGCACACCCACCAATCCTCGCACGCCAGACTCCTGCAAGAGCGTAGCTCGGCTGCATTTGGGTGGCCACACTTTGACAAGGTCACTAGCCGCCCCCCCTACTTTGGCACCATTCGACGCTCATTCCAGTCCCCGAGTAACATCCGACCCAGAAAACAATAGCCCCCTCTGTCACACGCCTTGAAAAACAACCACACGCGCCACGGCTTTGGAAACACCGTGCGCGGAACAGATATGCCGAAACACTCCACCTCGACCTAACAGTCAGGTCACCCAGACCACGTTTTTGAAACCATTCCACCCAAAACAGGCCACCGTGGCTACGCTAGTGAAAACACGCAAGCAAGTGAAGACTCACCGCACCAGGCCATTGAAAAGACACTGCCCACAAACAGGAGGCCACCCCAAACGCAAGGCCCTGCGCAGAACAGGCTTCCCTTTATCGAAGTCACGCCGCTGAAGAAAGTATCCCACCCAAAACAGGCCACTTCTTCAACTGGAACAGCCGCCAAAGCTTATCCACGTCGGCGACCGGAGCAAACGCGACAGCGATCGCAGCCGATGGCAATAAGCCGCAGGCCGATGCATTATGACGGCACCAAGTGGCAGTGCCGTTGTTGCCATCTTCGAAACAAGTAGATCATGCTTCCGAAAGTGCCTAAGTAGACCTGACGGACGGGCGTCAGTATACTCTTGAAGGGGACGGATTGGCTTAAAACAAGTAGCAACAGCAAATAAACGCTAGAAGATGTTTCCTACGATAAAGTGGCGCCATTTGCTACGATAGAAGTGGCTGGTACTTGAATGATGGACTATCATGCTTGGGAAGAGCTCCTGCCCCGCTTTCTCACAAACGTGGTCCACACGATGTCATAATTGAATTTGATATCAAAGTGGCGAGACATTTCGAGAAACACTTCGCAGTACCTCTCTCGGAACGAGCCTACTGCGTGAAATTGCACGTCGACTCGCGAAATGAGCTCAATAGCATTCATCCCAGTGCGTCGCTCTGCTGAGGAGGGGAGTTCGACCTTGCTAAGTGCCATAAGAGCCTGCAGCACAATGTACTCACACCCTTCGCAGTTGATTTGAATGGCATCAATCGTTCTACCCTCCTTGATGAAGTTGGCAAATACCTCTTCCGCAGGTAGTATTTTTCCTGGCTTCACCCCATGCGCTTCGTCACACGTGATCTTCACGTCCTCTCCATGATCTCCATGTTGATGAGCAGCACCCTGCGAAGAAGATAGAAGAAGCGGCGGGACGACTTGAGTAGCATCTCCCAGAAGTTTAAAACAGAGCGAAGCCCTATCCGGACCAATGCCCACGTTAAAAGCGTGAATATTTTTATACGGCTTCGTGTTCTTCTTGAGAATTTCAAAATACTGTTGTTAGAGCTTACTTCTGGCGGGTCATGGGAGGGGTCGCCTACTTAAGAATTATCGATAGAGACCCCCTCCAAGTTCCCCCCGTCAAGATATTAGCCTTAATGCTGGGTAGGTTCGTAGGTGAAGACATCAGCTTGCGGGTTGTTATCGGCAAACCGTCTTACCGACTCTCCGGTATACGAGCCGATGTCTATGAAGGATGTTCCTTTCGCAAGATCGTGGTTACTCTCAGCGGCGAGTTGCCCCTTTATGACTCGGAAACTTCGCCCCAAGCCATGAAAGCGGAAGTTTTGGCGAGATCCCTCGCCGGGGGTGTCTGCGCTGCTCAACCCCTTACCCTCACCCGCCCAGTGAAGGCGGGACGAATGGCAGAAAACAAGAAAGCACCACAGTCGAGAAGGTGGACGCGGGCGGCTCCCCCAGCACCTGGGGCCACTTTGTGGAAGTCGCCCTAGAGTCACCACGTGGGCAATGCTGACAGGCGCGGGGCCTGTGTGTAGGGGTCACGCAGTCCTCAAGCCATGGCGCCGCGTGTGGGCATGTGGTGAGATAGCGAGCCGACTGGTCCAGCCAAATCCAGGTGGCAGCTCGGGCCGACCGTCGGCCATGGTCGTGGTCAGGTGGCCTGCCATGCGCCGCACCGGGCTGCGACGGCTTCCGCCGGCGGTGGCTTGTCAGGGTCACTGTCACACCTGTACAACACACGCGCGCCCTCTGTGGGTGGGTCATGCTGGTGGCCACCAGGTGGGGGGACCCGTGGAATCGGTCTGCCAGCGTCAGTCGCACCAAGAGCCAGGCAACACGCCGAGCACAGGCGTGAGGGTGTGAGGCTCTGTCGGGCTGTCCCTGGGGCTGGTGTGGGGTTGTCGCGAACTGAGGCAACCGGCTTGCTGTGAAATCCCAAGCCTGGAGGATGGTGCCCGCAGCGGCCGGCGATACTCGCGAGCCGCGGCGACGCTCTTCGTAGTAACAGCTGTCGCGCCAAAAGTCCGCTTGTCGGGCATTGGGGCGAAGTTTCTCAATCATACCATTCCCTCCGTGTTTATAAAATTCTGCACGCCCGTCTCCTGACTGTCTTTTCCAGTCTATACCCATGCTGCCGAAGTCTATCTCGCCTTTGCCCTCCCTGCAAATAGATATCCGCGTGTCGCCCGGCCCCATTTTCTCCGGACAATATTAGAGCCAACGAACTACTCCGTGGCGCATCTCACTCTAAGGCCATCTTCCGTGGACCCGCTTGTTCCCACTTGATGAATATGAGGCCAGGGTGGATGATGCTGAGAGGATGCTCGCTTGGAGGTTGCCTTATCAATAGTTAGCTGGACAGAAGTCCCACCATTTCATCTTGATATGTCGTAGGAGGTGTTTTCGTCGCGATGCGTCTGCAAAAGGGCAGGCGGCAGTGAGTACACGTATTGTCAGCATCAGCGACGCGATTGCCGCCCATTTGAGAAGTGAAGATGAAGAGGACGCCCTTGCTGCATGCCGCGGCGTAGGATCGTGTGGTCGTAAGAAGTGGCCAACATGACCCGTTTCAACTTCTAAATTTGTTGACATTGTAGCAATCGCCGAGCACCTTTTGCCCCACCCGTAAAAGTCGTGGCCTTTAGGTTGAGTGCGTGCATTTCCACTGAGCTTCACTTGCTTCATCGCGGAGGCGCTTCCGGTTCCATGAGGCTCGAAGCTGCCTGTGCCGGGGCCTGTGCCTGTCTGGATATGTTACAATTACTCCCTCACGAACTATGATTCCTAACCATCGCCTGACAAAGGGCCGTTTCAACACCAGGGGCCACGCTTGTGGAAACACCCCACCCAGCGCAATTTACTCGAGGACCCACTCTGCGCCGTACAGGCCAGCCAGATCACCCCCTTGAACACACCCAAGCCAGAAATCACGGCTAAAAACCTTGAGAACTCGAGCCCCTCCAGCGCAATTTCGCCCGGCCAATATGCTCCGGCGTGCAGCCTTCCACAATCTGCTGAGCCAGATTGCACCTTAGGGCCGACGGCAGTGGCCGCGACGTGTCCGCAAGTTCCATCGACAGCGACAACTACTTTTAGCCGCAGTAGATCGCATTGACACGACTAGACCATAGAAGCCTGCTAAGCATGCGAGAAATAAAGATCGACTCACGCCTTCAACACCACTGGCAAACACGTCAAGAACGGGAGCGCCAGCAGAAACATCATGGCTGCGGCGACTTCGCTGTTCTTCCTGACTTGAAGTTGCAACTGCTACTTACGCTGCCAACCCTCCTTAGACAATGATGAAAAACTATGGCTATGCTTTTAGCCTTTGCTTTTTCAACGCCAGTCCACTCCTTCAGTAAGGCCTAGGCGGCGTGCAGGCTAGCTCTAACAAATGTTGATGTAGAAAATAAGTGGCCAAGAATAGTAGTGTCGTTACTCTTTCGGCTTCGCATTCGCTCGCCCTTGGTATAAGAGAAGATCTCCCAATACACTACTGCGCAGTCGCCAAGCAATCTCGCCCCCCCCCTGGGCTCAGCAATGGGGATGGGCGTTCCCTCTGTCATCTTTACACTGGAATGCTGAAGAGCCGCAGGAGCCGACATCGCACATGCGTGTTAGGAGTGTCAGCACTATGCTACGCGAAGCGGCGGCTGCAGTGCACAACACACAGAGACGCCTGGGCTCTGTTTCGACCGGCTCCAAGAATCCCTGCTCGTCGCAAAAAAGCACACTTACGTAGAGTTGGCGCTCGTAGCCATTAAGGCCCTTCGCCTTACGTCTGCAATGCGTATTGCTATTATTTTGCTGTGTAATATGCGGCCCCTCATAATATCTTCTATTGCGTCTGGCATCAGTGTCACTATCTTCGAGGCACAGGGACAGCTCTTGTTTTTTGTTGGTAGGCGTGCCACCCCAAGATGGCTGCCCCGCTGTATGCATTCATCAAATTGTAATTTGCTGTGTGGATACTTGTCAAAATACGTCAAAGAGAGCTAAGCTATGTATAAATATATAAGGCACAATGCCTGGTCTGGTGGACGTTGCTTCCAAGCGAACGCGCACGCAAATCGTCGGACTGAGGACAGTCCCAGTACTACTTTGTTCACAGCTTACAAGAGATCAGCATCTTGCGAACCGCATGACCAGCCCACGACAAGCGCAGGGGCCGCTTCGTTCTCAGTTTGGCAGCCTATCCGGATCAAGATAGCGTCGACACCCGATCCGTGCGTCCTGGCTTGCTCACTTCTAATATCGATTCTAAAGCTGTAAGGGTCCAGAAAGTGAAGGCCTTTGCTCCGAAAAGGTAATGTGCGCATGAGCTTGCCCTGCTGGCCTGATGATATTTTGTACAGCTCCGCGCTTTGGCTTCCCTGAAGAGCTGACCAATGCACTGCAAATAATCGCCCTGCCACATGGGGCTTTTCCGTGACCACATGCACGACAGGTTGTGTGCAATTACGCAGATTCGCGACATTTTGGGTCGGCACATAGTAATATCCCCACGCAGCAGTTGGAGCCCTAGGGCACCGAAAAGTTTGGCGGCAGTCAGTGCGTCTGCGGAAGAGATCCCAAAATGAAGGAGATGGAAGTTGGCACTGCAGCATCCACGTGCCTGAAAGTATGGTCGGCACCCTGAGCCTCATTTGTTGGCCATGCTGCCCCCGGAGCTCCCTGGAGCCATTCTCTGAGTAGGATTCGCGCGACGATGACCAGTCCTGCAACATCAGGCTGTTTCTTGTGTCTTTTTTACAAAGACACTGCTGCTCCACAGTACTATGATGGTACGGGTAAAAGAGATAGCTAGGAAGCACCTCGGTCTTCTTGGGTCGACAACGCTCCGGCCGGAATTCATGGTCGGTGGGATTGAAGCAAACAGACTGCGGTGAAAGATGCCACTGATTGAGAACGTCGAGAACGAATGCCGATGCTCGTCGCGCGCTTCTACTTTAAAGAAAACTTGTCGGCCTCTTTAAAGGGTTCGTTCCTCATACATTTTCGTTCTCAAACAAGATTGGCAAAGGTGGTGACATACATTTGGGCTTTTTCGACAGAAACCGTCCTGCAGTATGACATGGGTAACAATGCACGGCCCAGTATTGGCCCAGGCTGGTTTCAGAACAGTCAGGCGGCTTAATGCTCTCAATGCCGAGAAGAGCAAGTCGCTGTACTGCACTGCAACTTGGACACCCACTGCAACGAGGGTTCCGTATTCCGGGAAGCTGTCAGTCTCATTGGCGGCAGCGTATTCAACCCCCCTCTCTTCCAGGTGCGACAATAATGGTCCCAGATTCCTCAAGCAGGTGGTATCTGCATCGATAGCCACCCCGCCGAATCTATAGAGCACCTCGAACCGGAGCACGTCCCCAACGTGAATTGGCTCCATATCCTCGTTCAAGGTGCCGGGAATGAAGCCCTTTTGAATGGCATACGATCCGGGGGCGTTAGATCTCCACAGTGGAAACATGGCAAATGGAAAGCCATCCGCGGGGCATTTTTGATTTAAGAACAGTAGACTGACAGTGAGAGCCCCTCCCAGGATGCTTCACCACAACAATTAATAGATCTGGGTGCGGAGCACTACCTCCACCACCACAAAATCTAGGGCTGAAGTCTTAAGTGTAGCATATTTTGAATCGTATCTCAGGTACTTTGCCACCGATTCCTCCGTCCAAAGATAATACTCAAACTCTGGAAAATCTGAAAAAAGGCGTAAGAGATAACTTCGGACTCAAGGAAGTTGCAACTCCCCCGTCCGGCCGCTGAGAATGAAGCCAGACGAAGGAGCAGCGCCACGGCTGCAGCGTCTGGAGCGAGCCTGGCGAAAAAGCAGACGCCCGAGCCCCCCTAATTTGTATGAACAGCGTCACGCCCCCTGGAGGACTCCAGCGGCCACAACCAAGGAAAGGCGGCAGAGGGGCAGGGCTTGCAATGACACACACGAAGGAGAGCGGGAGACGAGGGCCAACCAACCTGCGCAGCGTATGCCCCGGCCCGAATAAATGCGAACACCCCTCGGGCCTGACAGTCCCCCCCCCACGTTGGCAAAGGGCCAAGAGCTGGCCGCCGAAGGGTGCCATAACGGCGTCTGCGGATCTCCCGGCCCCGGCACCCTGCTGCCCAACCAGTCTGGAGGCAATCACCGGGATCCAGCGCCAGGCTGCGCCCCTGCGGGCTCCGTGGCTGTGCCTCTTGGGGTTGGGGGGCTATCCCCTTCAGTAGTGGATGAACCTCGGGGCGGCGGAGTTGCAACTTTTAGCAAAGTCGTCTTTTCGCTTTCCCATTGGCATAAATGCACCTCAGAGCAAGTCCGCAGAGAACGCATGGGCGGAGGGTTTTTTTTTCCCCACCAGATCTGGTGGATTATCCGAGGTATTCTGGTGCGTGCTGCCCTCGGTCGTGAATGCGTGAGACTTGGACTTGTGACTGTTTGTGCCCCTTGTTCGTCGCCCACTCTTCTTATGGTGCTGGCGCGGTCGCTGCGGGTCGTTGGCATCACAGCTCCTACTCCCTTTCCGCTACTTTCGTACGAGGAGGAGTTTGAATTTCGCCCCGCCCTCTGCACCAGATCAGCATGCACAGGAAAAAAGGTTTTCTGCTCGTTGAGATATCTCTCACCCATGAGGCGCAACCTTTCCGGCGAGATGTAGTGAAATGTTAGCGGCCGTTCCTCGGTATATGACATGTAAGGCCCAACATGGCCCTCAACTTTTTTCGGGAACCGGCTCCACGCCAGCATCATTTCAGGCGTGTCAGGGTTGCATCCCTCTAGCCTTTGCGCCGGGACGTCAAACCGACTGAAACACTCGCCGATAGCAACGTCCTCGTAAGGGCGATTGTTGGAGCTCACACACTTCGCTAAGGGCCACTTACTTAACGTTAGCCCATCCCGAGACGATGATCCACCCCGAGAGCCTCTTGTCTATGTCTTCCCGCTGAAAGCAAGCCCCAGCAAGAGGATGCCGCAGAAGATAAAGGCAAGCCTCGTCTTCAGCATGTTGCTCCAGAAAAGGGAAGCCCCTGCGGGATGCCTCAGAAGAGAGAAGAAAGCCCCGGCAGAGTGAGCATTTCAAAAAATAACTATCTTTGGTATAAATCAAAACTAAACGCGAGACCTAAAAAGGGGCACTTCTCTCTGGTCAGCCGGCGACCACCGGGCCGCCTGCTGCTCTAAAATCTATTTAGAAGTCTTTTAAAATTTTCCCGCAAACAGTTGCGCAAATTCCACCCCAGGCCGAGGGCTTTAACTTCATTAAGAGAATTCTGCGAGCTTTGTAGCTAAGGCAACTCCTGGCAAAGCCGCCGCCGGCTGGCTCTGGGTTTTAGATGTACGGAAATCACGGCAAAGATGTACAGGCTAGATGTATACGGCTGCGGTATATATCTCGAGACATTTATCCTGCGCGAAAGGGGAACGCTCAGGATGTAGTTTCACTGGGGCGGTCCGTGACGTGTCTGCGAAGTTTTCTATTTTTGAGATGTACGGAAATCATGAGAAAGGTGCACGGGCTAGCCGTGTGCATCTTCTCACGCCGTAGAAATGCCACGCCTATCCGTGCACCTTTTGCGTGATCCTGCTCCTGCTAAGCATTTTGGAAGTAGGTGCTGGGGCTGGGTGGTGCCTGCTGCACACAGCTTGCCTGCTTGGCGTAGCTTGGTCGCTTGCTGGGCATGGCTTGCTTGCTAAGCCTAGCCCCATCTTACTTGCTGAGCTTCATTAGCCCGCTCGCTAAGCATGAGCTGCGCTGCCTGCTGCGAACAGCCTGCTGGCAAGTCTTGGCTCACCTGCTCAACGTAGCGCGCATCCTCAGCGTGGCTGGCTTGCTGGGCGTAGGTTGCTTGTTAAGCGTGGCAGGCTTGCAGGGGGTGGCGTGCTTGCTGAGCATAGTTCAGCTGAGCGGCATAAGCTCCCCACTTAGCATGGCCTGCACGCTAATGGCTATAGCTTCCTTTCTACCTAGGCGCTCAGCTTGCACGCTGGGCAGAGCTTTTCAAAAGCGCAAAATTTGCGCTGAGCATTGCTCACGCCTTAAGCATAGCGCGCCGGCTAAGCTTGGCCCGCGTGCTCGGCGCGTCTTGCTCTCTTGGCGCGGCTTGTTTGCTCGGCGGGGCTCACTCGCTAGGCGTGGCCTGCTTGCGTGCTAAACATCACACGCTTGCGCGGGATGCTCGCTCAGCGTGGCCTCCTTGCTGGGCCCCGCTGACCCTATAACAGAACAGCCTATAAGGCTTCTGGAGGCCGGTTGACATGGCACGAGTGGAACGGTTGGAACAAATGGCAGGCATCCAATCCGGGGCTTCAATGTGCTCCCCCATTGATGCCATTCGTGATTCTATCAGACCTCCGCGAGCGGGGCGCCCTTCGCGGCGTTGCCGCTCTCTCCGAATGCTGCGTACATACTTTCGGAGACCCACTCTCTCGGGCGCCCTGCGACCAATCTGCCACACCCTCCACGGCGTTGCGCTTCAGTAGCCTCCCCAAGCCCGGCGCCCTTCGGGCGCGTTGCTTTTGCTCCAGCCCTCCTCTGCCACCCGCGATTCAAAGCTGGCACGCATCCGACCCGCCATCCAAGCCACTGCCCGTCTCCGTCGTCGCTCTCCCACAGCGCCGGCGCGGTGGATCAGCTGAGCGCCCTAGGGTGGAGGCCGCACGCTAAATCACCCGCCTCGTCGCAGCATTCCTCTCGTCAGGGGGACAGCCCCAGCCACCCCAACCCTTTAAAACGTCGCCAGAATTCTTCTAATTTTCCCGGACGCAACCACCTCAGAAGCACCCGCGACACTGCTAACGACACCCCCTGGCCAGCCCTACGCAATACCCGTCAGCCGCACCTCCAAAAACACGACGAGCCGAGCAACGGGCTGCCCGTAAGTGCAGACGCCACAGCCCTACCCCTGCGCAGACCCTGCAAAACCCGGCGACCCAATAAAAGAACACAACCAGCGCGAACCATACACGGCAAGCGGCCCTCCCGCGCATCTATCCCCCCCACCCAGGACCACTCCAACCCGGGCGCTAAAATGTTTGCTAATTTAGCAGAAGCCGGCGGAATGCACCGCGGGGAGCCCGTTCAAAAAGTTGCTAGTCTGTTACTCTAATTCGATTTTTTGGGTTCCTCGAAACCCCTCTAAAATTAGCCTAGTTCGTTACTCTACTCCGGCGCTCTAATTTGCAACCCCCGAATATGCACAAAAACGCGCAGACCCTCAGGGTGCAAAATTAACATACCAGATTAGAGTAACGAACTAGAAGAATTTTAGAGGGGTCTCGAGACCCCCCAAAACAGTTAGGGCCACAGACGAGCACGATTTTTAGAGTAAAAAAACACGACACCCCGGCAAGAAATCCCGCCGAATTAGAGGCGCAGAATTAATAGCATAATTTTTAGCGCCCCAGACTCGCCCGAATTTTAGCAAAAAAATTAGAGCCCCCGAACACACCCGAGCACGGCGCCAAGCTGACAGCCGCCAAGCCGGCCCAGGCCTCCTGAGTAGGAGACACCCGACCGACACCACCGCAAGGCCACAGAGAGCCCGCATGCCCCCCACCATCACACGACTAAGCCCACCACACAAGAAAGACTATCACCACCACAAGCAGCCGACCAAACTCACACCATACGGAACGCCTGCAAAATTAGAGGAATTTTAGCACAAACTTACGAGCGCAAACCACCCGGGCGTGTCCTCCTGACTCTCGTGGAATTCCGCGGGGGTCATGCAAGTCCGCCAGAATTTGCGTGGCCCGCGCGGTAGTTCCAAGAAAGACGCCAGCCCTCCGGCGGTCAGCCGCACTAAGCTCCGCATTAGAGAGCCGCCGAGCCGGCTTGGTTTCTGGCTAGCTCCCTTACCATTTTCCAAATGGCAGGGGGGCTCTCCGTGGAAAGCCCTTCGCATCCCTATCCCTGTCCGCTTGTGCCAACGCCAGCCGCGCCATTCGTGGCACTTTTTGGCTTCGTTGGGTTGTTCCAGCCGTGTCACTCGTGCCAACCGTGCCAGCCGCCACCCGTGCTGCTATGAACTGCGCCGCTTTAAGCGCCACGCCCTCTCGTGCTTGTTAGGCATGAGCCGCAAGCAGTTAGGTACGTGCTAACCTACCTAGGCGTGGCTTGCTTGCTAAGCCAGCGCGTTGCGCTGCACTTGCTTGCCCCTACTAGGCGTAGCTTTTTGGGCTAAGGCTTCCAGTGTGTAGATACGTAGAGCGCACCCGCGTGTAGCACGTCGCGGCTTCACTTGTGCCATCTGGATCAGGGACCTGCTCCAGCTCAAAAGGTAAGGCCTTCCAAACGGGCCAGGCGTAGGCTGCAGCCGCATGAAGCTGCGCCATTTGGATCGGAGACCCGAACCAGCTCAAAGGGCAGAGCCTTTCAAGCTAACAGGCCAAAAGTAGCCAGCAGCCCCAGAGAGTTGCGCCAGAGCCTTTCAAGCTAGCAGGCCAAAAGTAGCCAGCAGCCCCAGAGAGGTGCGCCAGAGCCTTCCAAGCTAGCAGGCCAAAAGTAGCCAGCAACCCCAGAGAGCTGCGTCAGGCATTTGGGTGCGCGACCTAAGTCAGCCAGACAAAGGGCAAGACCTTCGAAGCAAGTCAAGAGTAGACCGCAATCCCACAGAGTTGCGCCCTTGGGTAAGAGATCTAAGCCAAATCTGCGCCAGCTCAAAGGGCAAGACCCTCCAAAGAGAGGCGCCAATACTAAACGGTGACCCGATAAAGCTCGCTGCGCCATTTGGATAAGAAACCCGAGGCAGCCCAAAGGGCAAAGCCTCCCAAGCAGCTCAAAAATACGCAGCATCCCCCGAAAGTTGGCCCATTTGGATTGGTGACCGGAGTCAGGTCAGCCCAAAGGGCAAGGCCTCCCAAGCTGCTCAAAAGCAGGCAGCAACTTCGCGAAGCTGCGCCATTTGGGTAAGAGATCCGGACAGCCCCAAAGGGTAAGCACAAGGCCATCCAAGCGGTCCAAAAGTGGGCAGCAATCTCATAAAAAAAGCGGCGCCATTTGGGTGGGGGACCTGGGTCAGCTCCTCAAAAGGTCAGACCTTCCAAGCAGGTCAAAAGCAGACAGCAACCGCATAAAGCTGCGCCATTTGGGTAGGAGACCCGAGCCAGCGCGTCAAAGGGTATAACCTTTCAAGCAGCTCAAAAATGAAAGGCAAGAGTCTCCTTGAGTGGCGCTACTTGTTTTAAGTAGTAGGGGGCCCGAGCTGGTTCAAAGGGTAAGGCCTTTCAATTTGGGCAGCGAACTGAAACCGAGCCGAAGGCTAAAGCGTAGCGCAGTGCTTCCGCTTATGTAAAACGTCGCAGCTTCTGGCACGTAGCTGATTCATCTACGCCGTGCCCCGCTGCTCTTTCTTCACGTAATTCGTAGCACGCCGGTAGGCCGTAGGCCTATGACGTAGCTCGTAGAATTTGCAAGACCCTGCCGCCCTGCCCCGGCGTGTGTACACGCCGGGGGCACATCGGGGGTGTTTATTGGAGTGGATAAAATTGAAAAAGCTCCAAAATCTGAAAGAGCTTACTTAATCGTAGTTCTTAAGATTAGTGTCCAAAAGACAGCGCTCGAACCCACCAGACCGCGCAGACCCTCTCCAAGTGCTCTCGGCTAAAGCCCCTGAAGAGATCAAATACCCACCGCCACCAGATGCAAAAAGAACCCTCGTTTTCCAAAACGAGGAACTCTCTACAACCTCCATCAGAAAACCCCCGCGACATTAGAGTGGTCTAGATCCAAGATGAAATAAAGCAGAGCTCAGAAAAAACGCCTAAAACTGCCACTGAACCAACTGCAGCCTAAACCACTGAACCAGCTGGCGATATCTAAGGTGAAGGCGCTGATAGATAAAACTGTAGATGTCTTTTAGTTTTTCTGCTGTGCCCAGTTTGCTCAGTGGTTGGGTTGGCCTCAAACGCTTACGTATTTGCAAGATGAATAAGCTGAGCCAGGGAAAAGTGGGGCTTCTTCTTGACAACTAGGAGACAGGGAAGATGAACAACTAACAAACTAGCTAACTAACTATGTATAACAAAAAGTAACTAGCACTTCTAGAACAAGCGGGGTAAGTTAGTAGTAGCCTTAATAATGTTTTGAACCGAAGAACACCAAGGTCCTTCAGCTTCTTTGGACAAAAAAATATAACAAGAGAGCCAAGTTAATAGTCTTGCAGTGGAAGCTGTCGCGTAGACAGCTGGAGACGGGGGCACGAGGTCATTTTTTGGATTTCTTTCCCTATGGTGGTTGTTAGTGGGTTGTCCTACAAGAGTAGCCTTAATAAAACTTGGCGCTGCTGGTAAAGGCATTACGTTCCAGCTCACAAATTCGGCTCAAAAGGTTACCAGTGTACAGAAAGGCGTCACTGTCGAGCTTGAAGAGCCAATCGTAGTGAGAAAGCTTCTGTCGAGCGACGGCGAGCATTTCATGCGCCCGCTGCACATCGCCGTCTACTCCCGTTCTCGCGGTTTGCATTGGTGCGGAGTAGCCCGTGCCAAACCTGTGCCAGGGAAACACCACGCCAGCAGTTAAAGCTGGCGCCTCTGTCTTCTCAGTCTGTCATCGCGGCCCCGCCCTCGTCTGCTGGGCTCCTTTTGCCTTGTATTTCATCATGGGAATACAACGCAAAAGGGCCGCGCCGTCCACCGTGCTGAGTGAGATGAAGAGGAGCAGACCATAAAGTAGAACGTGCACTGCTCTTTTTGTTGTGCTCTTCCATTAGAAGTAGAACAGCCTATGCGCCGAGGTCCATCTTGATAAACGAAGCCCTTCGGCATTGTAGGTTTCTTCCCTTGCTTTCCCTTCTTCAAAAGCATTAATCCTTTTGATTCTTTTGAAAGATGGCCCTCGTGCTCGTGGTGAATTAGTATTAGAGGAAAGAAGCTGCCCAGCAATGCCATAGCTCCAGGAGGCTTTCACAGTCGCGGCAGTGAGTCGGATTCAAAAAGAAAAACACACCAGCCAGACTAATGCGAAAAAAAGAAGGATCAACCCGATTTTCGCAAGGTCCACTCTCGGCCGCTGGTCCGCCTTGCTCCATGGTCTGAGAAAAATACTCCATCTGAGACGCCAGAGCGCTGCGCGAGGCAGCATGAATCATAATCCAAAGCGTTTTATTAGTAATCGCATTTTTTCGCACTTTGCTCGCAGAGTCTTTCTGCATTAGAGCTCGCGCCATTAGCCATGATCGTGAGGGCCACCGTCCATAAAGTTACAAGGACGCGGCGAGTGAATGAGCTTCACGCGAAAGTTTTTGCTCACTACACACATGACAATTGAAGCGCGCAAATAAAATCTAGGAGTGCCTCTCTCTGTCTCCTACTTCCTCTCCGCGTTCTAAAAAGATGTAGTTGTTGGCTTCTCTGTATCTATAAGATTCTAGTAAGCCGTATCTCTTTTATCTTTTCCGCCTCCTCTTTGGAATTGGATGCGTGTTTTTTCAACATGTTCCGCGGCTCCTGGTTGTCCCAAACGAGAGACATGCCCCCTAGGCCGTCCTTGACAGGAGTCAACGGGCTGTAGTCGGACTCGGAGGACCACTCGGCCGAGGGCTTGGTGGCGTTACTGGAGCTGTTCCTGTTACTGGAGGAACTGTTCACGAACAACGCTCCCATAGGTGCAATCTTAGACACCCATTCAGTACTATCATTAGCGCCAAGACCCTCATAGAGTCGACCCATCTCCTTGCATGGTGTAACTCATGCTGTCAGAGGAGTGCAGACCGGATGCATGGCACTGGTTTTTCTTTCGTTGCACATTTTGGGATTGGATTCACGTCCACCCGCTTTCTACTCCGTCCCCTTAAAAATAAATGCTGTTGCCAGGGAGGACCGAAAGAGGCTCTGACTATGGGAAAGAAAAGGATCAGGATGGGTCTCCAACTATAAATCTTGCAGCCTTAATATTGAGCCCTTTCGCTGCCGATCCGAACCATGTCCTCGGCAAGATCACGATCCGACTGCCCTTCGGGTTAGGTAAAGTGCCTGTAGCTTCTGTGGTCTCGTCCGAACTTCGGGGTAAAGCGAAACTCGCTGCCGCTCTCTTCAGTCCTTCAGCGGCGGCCTCGGCTACTAGAAAGTGAGACTGCTCCTTGTACTATGAGGGCGAGAAGTGCACTCACAGCAATCAAAAAACTGGCTAGGCGCTTCCTTTAAAGTGAGAGCCTAGCTACATGAGTGCACTTTTTTGCGTCATATGTACTCTGCCAGAGTGCGAAAAAAAAAGGGCGCAAAAGTTAGACCTTACCGATATTCATGCTGCGAGTCATCTTAGGCGCGCTCCCCCCTTTTACTTGGGCACCTTTCTACCAAAATGCCTCGTAAGATGAATGGCGGCAACCCTTAAAAAACTCTGTCCCCATCTTGAAAGAATCTCCCGAAAGTCTTTGTCGATAGCATCCTGTGGCTGCAGTTTCGTCGTAGAAGTTGGCGTCGCCACAGATTTTTGCCAATCCAGCAGGTTTTGCCAATGAGGGCTCTCCTCCCGACACATCCGCAAAAAAGCTCCCCACCAGCTAAAAGACGAGTTCGCCAGAATGTGGTGCCGAATAAGCGAGAATAGCAACAGCGCTGTCGACGAATGGACATCATGGCGTGCATCATTCACGGGCGGCGCTCCTTGTCCTGGGCCCCGAAGCGTTATGAATCTTTCTTGACTTTGATTCCTTTCCATCTACGCAGCAGAGCATCGCCCAAGCCCCCGAGGGCCCCTTTAACTTATTATACTAAAAACTTATTATACTAGAAGATACGTCACTTGCAGCAACCTGCTAAATCATGGTCTGCACTTGATAGCTGCAAGAAATAATAGAAAACACGCATTCATAAATATCTTGCTTGGCACAATCGACGGGACCACATAGTTAGAGCAGAGCAGCGACCTCGCATTTGGTCCGGGATGCTCTCTAAAGAGAAAAAACTGCACCCACAACCTCCCTGAGCTTATTTCCCTTCTGGTGGGTCCTCTCGATAAAGTGGGCCCTTTCGTATTGATGTTCTCCCGTAGGCCTACCTCTACGCCTACGACGAGTACGACTACTCCTACTACATACACTATAGACGAGGATGATGGACAACTACTACGGCCACTAGGACCAACAACATAGCCGTACTCTATAAAAATTCTTACTCAGTGATACGAGTATACAACTATACTACCAACGAGATCCTGAAGCAACATCGCTCGCTTGGCATGATTGATACCGAAGAAGACCCGAATCAGTACACTTCTCCAAGCGAAAAAATGCGTCTTAACATATATCTGGTCAAGATCTCCAAGCAACGCCGCCTGCATGTCCCTGTTCTGCAGCATTTTTTGATGCACCCAATCCGGCTCGTCCGAAAAAATTAGAAATCTTGTCGCAAGCCCATCTTCTACAGGAGTACAATCTTACAATGCGGAAGAGCGCAATTCAAAGCATCAAACCTCGCACAAAGATCTGTGCAGGAGCGTCAGCTGCATCTTTGTTTCGTGCTCGTTCATTAATGCGCCTGCTAACCTCCCTTTGATGCGCTTGAAGTATTCAATGAACTAGAGGAACAGAGTAGCCGCGATAGCGATCGCACATACTCGGTCTTTGTACTTGTTACTTGCTCACTCCGAGGCTTCGAGTGAGTGCCGAGCAACATCATGTTGCTACAAAGCCTGACTGGCTAGAAAACGGGACAATCTTCAACGAGAACGATCTTCAACATATTATAGCTCAAGCAAGAAGTAGAAAATGTAGATGTTGAGTCTTTTTATTGCAGCCGTAAAAAGAACCAGATACTCAAAGCACATCGATGGAGCCCAGATTTGCATTCGCCGCGTTCTACTAGTCCGTGTCGAAGAAGTCGGAGGGCCTCTACTTAGACCTCAAGTAAGATTAAGAAGTGCGAAAGTACCACCACGCAGCTAAAGTAAGAGGATGGTCGGACCAAGTATGCTGTAGCAGTAGCGAAGAAGTAAAAGATGATTTATTACTGAACTTGAAGTACAAGTATGCCCCTGCATTTATGTAAGATGATGTTAGTTCGTTATTTTCTCCGATTTACTAGGAGGACAGTAGTTTGCACACTGGAAATGAACACACAGGGCACACAGCTTGAACAGAGAAGACTGGTAGGGAGATGGATGAAGCCGGCGTCGAACGATCACCAACATACAAAATAACTACGTGGCACGGAAATTCTGAGAAGACTTACCCTTATCGTTCGCGGCCTTGGCAGCCTTAGAGCAGTCTTGAGTCGTCACAAGAAATAACACTCACGCCACAACTTTGATAATTATGCTTTGTCAAGGGCGTGAGAGCATTTACTTTTACGTCTTTAAATGAGAGCGTACTAGTTTACTTACTTTTACTACTCATGTTTTATTTATTCAACAACTGAAAGCACTTGCAGTTACACGACTGATGTTGCTGCTTTAACATCCAAATCTTCAATCTTGTCATGTGTGTGTCCCTGTTGCAGTTTAACATAAAATTAAAAACCGCCCAAGAGACGTTATTGCATAGAAGTTGCGGAGGCCTATCTTCAATCTTGTTGATTCATAGGAGTTGGCCCTTGTTGAAGGCCTTAATTTACGTAGTAGTCAATGCCCTGAACAACGTGCCAACTGTTTGACTTGCGATAGTCCCCACGGCGCACATGGATCGCAACACTGTGGGACAGGGAAGATCGCTGCTCGTCGCCTGCAAGTAGAAGTTCTTTTAGAGGGAGCTTTGGTACTGTAGGAGGTGCTCTACTGTAGTTGTGAATCCCCTTGGACATGTCTCCTCTCACCTAAACACTTGGGATTGTCTCCCAGTACTGTCATTTTGGTACTGGTATTCTCGATCACTTTGATAGAGAATAACAAGCACTGGTATCCAAACCGGGTTGTAAGTAACCTGCTTTCGATCTCAAGGAAGATTGGCGATGTCCTCTTGTTTAAAACGACGTGTTTTGGCAAAACACGTCGTTTTAAAGAAGAGCGAAAAGAGTTTTGCCAGGTTATGAAAGCAAGAGCGGATTAGACGTGCTACGAATTGCCAAGAATGCCATAAATGCTCGTCGGAAGTATCTTCTTGATGTAAAGACTCGTCCGAAGGGCTCTTCTCCGTTTTGTAATCGCTACCCCAGCTTGATCTCGTTGATCTTCTTGATGTTATCGCTACAATCTGAGAAACATGCATGGCCTGCCAAAAACTGCGCGCGCGCGATTCCAGTAGACGGGTAGGCTTTAGGAGTCTGCAAACCGCATCCTGATCGCTCTTATTGTGGATCGCCTGCTGTTCGTACCGGTCAATTCTGAAGTCGCCGACATTTCTTGCAGTAGACTTAGAAAAAATCGAAGATGCGAGCTGTTTCACTACTCCTCAACTACACTAATCTTGCTCACGATACTCAGCATGGTATTTCTACCTCCTCACGATAGATACTCAGCATGGCCATTTACTTACTTACTCAGAGAAGACGAGAATTCAAAACTTTATTAAAGGATCTCAATAGGGGACGAGGGGAATGCTTTCACTCCTCGGACTGCTTGGTGTTCTTTTTATTTTGAGAGGAACACCACATCAAAAAACAGAAACTCTTTCACTTATTTCAGGACTTTCAAGTAGGCAATATGGATATTCTTGAAGAAAGTGAAGAAAGAGAATTATTCTTACATACAAAAAAATATCGCGCCATACATCGTCCTGTATGTTGGTTCAGTGCATCGGACGCCGAGACGACATCGCGGTAGCGAGGCTTCCCCTGAATTAGACGCATTAGACGCTGCAGCAGCGATATTACTAGCCAACCACTGTTTGCCTCAGGCGCGGCTTGTTCTGGCGTAATCGCATGCAACAGAGAAAACCGCCTGCAGTGGCAATCTCGACATGAGTGTTCTGAGTCGATTTCTATGGAAAGACGTCCATGACCACCCAATCGGCTTGACAGCACCGCACCCTGGGACAGACGAAAGAGGATATTTCCCATTCCAGCCCCATCACTACATTAGAGGACCTTCCATGAAAGAAGTAGTAGTAGTGAAGAAATCTTCCATGTAATTGTCCATCGATCTTCTTACAATAATCTTCGGCGTTTTCTTTTTCTAGAGGCTTGTTCAAAAGCATCATATTAAAGAAACTAAACCATTCCCAGCCTTCTTGAAATAATTGTAAGAAGATGGTTTTGGATCATTTGCGGAAGCCTTAACTGCGACCGATCAAAATCTTCGTCGCTCGTATATTAGAGCTGCCACCGCAGTCCTCGCATCCCTGACTTCATTCTCTCCGAGGCTTATTTTTCAACGAGTTGAAAAAGGGCCCGGGATCGATGAAGACGGTCGTGGAGGAGGTAGCTCAGGAGGAGGAGGCGGAGGAGTAGGTAGCCTTAGTATCATTGCTCAGGGCGGTCCTCGACTTGGTGGGGAAAATATTTTTTCTTCTACCTGACAGCGTCAGATCGATATTAGAAGTGACCAGGAGGAGAGGAAAACTATTCATTCATAGGAGGAGAGAAAAATTATCAGCAGCAATGGGGTGGGTGTCCTATGCTTGTGCGCTAGGAATATGATAGCCAGCATGATGATGACCCTCTCACAGACTAGTATCGTGTTATCGTCTCAGAGACTATAATCTACTTCATCTCAACGAAGGCTGGTCTGACGAGGTCTTTTGTTCTTCTTGTTTTCGTCTCTCTTCTTGTATCAGAAGAGCGAGAGAAGAGTTTTGGAACTGCCCCAACTCTACTAGTTCTCGTAGAAGTCGTCCAATAATTTTTGGAAAAGTAGCTCATGATGCCGTTGAATTTCCTCCGAGAGTCTTCTCCTGCTGTTGCGACTTCTCACTGCCTAGTACATCATCGTATAACCTTGTTGTTGTCCTCCTGAGTACTAGAAAGTCACAAGACCTACTTCGAAGATGATTGTGTACGTAACTGCTATTTATGTAAGAGTAAAAGTTGTATAGATATAGAAGTTGAGCAGTGTTGTATGAATTTTATTAAACAGAATTACGCTCAACTTCTATATCCTCTGAAAGCACTGATCCATAACGAAGATGTCTCCGCCCTCTTGCTGTTGTTCGTCCTCCCAGCCGCAGAAGATACCTTCAACCAGAATACCAGACGGATCACAGAAGCGAATCCTCCTCAGCCACATCCTCAGCCCACATACGGCCAAAGTTAGAGCTGCTACCTCAAATTCATCCCTTCTCTAGCTCTAGTTGTGCTACCTGCGTAGTTGACAACTGTTTGTTAAACTTAAATACCATCACTCCCGCCCTCAAGCGTATTACGCCATGCGTTGGTGTACTACGATAATGGCACTCCCCTCAAGCGTGTACTTCGTCACACATTCCTCAAGTGTACGGTTGAGAATGCAAGAAGCATACATGGCCCAGGGCTCAGGGCTACGGCGCCCTCCCCCTGGCGCAGGGGGGGCACTGTGCAGCCCCAGGCCCCTCATGAGGGCGTCTGCCGGGGGTGGAAGGCCTCAAAAGGGGCCCAGGGGACCTTCTCCGCCCCCTTCCAGCTTCCTACCTATACCCCACAGGCCTCCGATGAAAGTGGAAGGCTCCAAAAGGGGCCCAAGGGACCGCCCCCACCCCCTTCCAGCTGCCTGCCTGTGCCCTAACTGCCTCCTATTCAATACGCTTCGCCGCCGCCGCAGTGCGCCAGGCGTAGAAGGCCGCCGAGGGCGAGGGGCTGGACCCCCTGAGCCGTGTGGCCTGTGCCCTCCGGGCCCTTGGTCATCGGCTTCCTTGCTCTTGAGACCGTGGCCGCCTTCGGCAGCCTTTTACCCAAGAGAGCCTCAGCCTGCGAGGGTCAGCAGAGGCCAGGAGGCCCCTGAGGAACATGCAGAGAGGCGCAAGGGGACGCCCGCGCTCAGTTTCCACGCCTTCGGCCACTAAGAACCGCGAAAATCAGCGCGGAAAAGAGCGCGCGAACGCCACCACAAGGCCACCCACAGGGGGGGACCGTGCAGCCCTAAAACAGACATAGTCACGCCCTTGGTCTGCATACTGGCTACGTTACCCCCAAGCGTGCCCCGTGTGCACGCTTGAGCGGTCCGCCCGCCTAGAACAGAGAGGGATAGAAGACGATAGCCGTAACAAGAAGACACACGCCCAAAAGAGCGAGCGCCCCGCCATGCTCTGCCTTCCAACAGAACTGCACACGGAGAAGAGCAGCATCGTTACCCGTCTTTATAGAGCTTGAGCATAATTCCAGAGGGCCATACAACTTCTCCTACTTGATGGAGCTGGTGGAGGTGGAGGAAACATTTAGAATATAGCGCGAGACTTTAGAGAGATTCCCCCTGCCCAGAACAAAAAACCTGGAACAGCCTTCCGCGAGTAGCTTTCTTGGACACCATCCCCAGGGCCCAGAACACATCTTCTGAAACAACCCGCCCAGAACACAAGTTCTACGCCAACCTTTCCCGGACAGGTTTTCTGGGGAAGCGTTCCCTGGAACAGCCTCCCCCGAGCAGGATTTCTGAAACAACATGCCCCAGGCAGGTTTTCTAAAACAACCAGCCCAAGCCGCAAGTTCTGGAAAAGCCTTGCCAGAACAGGTTATCTGGGGCAGCCTTTCCCAAGCAGGCTTTCTGGGGCAGCCTCTCCAGGCCAGGTTTTCTGAAACAGCCTGCCAAGATCGCAAGTCCTGGAACAAACTTCCCAGAGCAGGTTTTCATTCTGGAACAGCCTCCCCCGAACACAACAAGCCCTTTGAGACAGCATGTCCAGAAAAAGCATCCTGAAACAGCCTGCCACGAAAAAGCTTGCTGAAACAGCCCCACCAAGACCAGCGCAAGACTTCTGAAACAACCCCGCCAGGACAAGACCGTTGAAACAACCCCGCCAGGGTAAGACTTCCGAAACAGCCCCGCCAAAACAAGACTTCTGAAGCAGCCCCACCAGAGCGCAAGACCTCTGAAACAGCCCCACCCGATCAGCTCACCCGAATCGAAAAAACGCAACCCCGCCAGAAAACGACTTCTGAAACAGCGCCGCCAGAAAAACTCAGATGAAACAGCCTTACTGAAACAGCCCATCAGAAACAACCCTGCCAGAGCAGCCCACCCGAACCCGAAGCAGCCCCGTCAGAGCAAGACTTCCGAAACAACCCCGCCAGCGCAGCTCATCAGAAACAACCCCGCACGAGCAAGACTTCTGAAACAACGGGCATGACTTCTGAAACAACGAGCAAGACTTCTGAAACAACCCCGCCAGACCAAGACCGCTGGCCCAACAACCTGAAACAGCCCCGCCAGATCAGCTCACCCGAAACAGCCCGACCCGAACAGCCCAGCCGAAACAACCGCGCCAGAACAGCTCACCCGTCCGGCACGCCACTGCCGCGCTGGCCACCACCTCCCCCGCCCCCGTTGCTCCAACGGCCACACGGCTGCGAATTCCAGCCGCCGCGGTTTACGCTGCTCGTCTGCCAAGGACCGAACCCCGCTCGCATCTCCGAATTGCGATTGTTTCTTTTGCTGTGTTACATAAAAAGGCGGGGGAAAGGCCAAAACTAAAGGGGAGCCGATGTCTGTGCTACGCGTTCCTGCTGTTTAGACGCTCAATACCCGACGCTACAGCGTCGGGACTCTACTTCGACGCCAAAGCTCTTACTTCTACCCAGATAATCAGCTTAAAACTTACTCCGCGAAGCGGTGAGCGCCACTAAACACACAAGAACACAGGAGCAAGCTCGTCAGAGTCATCTGACTGGAGTAGCTCCTTTCGGTTTCCATCATGTGCTGACCACAGTCTTTCCAATTACCCCAAACAAAGTCCAGCGAGCAATTTCTGAAATTGGTTAAGCTAAGCACGTCGTTACAAAATTCTACTTCGCGACGGATCCAGCTCAAAGATCAGCTACCAGCTGGAGGTAACCGCCATGCTAATGCGCCACTTCACCGCGCTCAACTGGCTCGAGGTCTTGAATTTGTTTAGCGTCATCTTGTTCATCATCACTATAGCTAGCATTCTCATTTTTTACCATTTCAATAAGGGCCCCACGCTCTAGCTTATGTTCTGCTACGTAACGCCTCCAAGAAGAGGCGTCCCCACTCCACCTACCTGCAGCTAAAGTAGCCGCCTTCGAACCGCCACAGGGTGCCATGGTGGCCGCCCCTCCTCTACGGAGGCTGTGAGTAGCGACTTGGCCAGCTTCTGCGCACCTCAGCGCGCAATCTCTAACCTCTTTCAGTGCAAGTCTGTGGCCAATGCCCTCGACAACTCTCCGCCCTGGCTTAAGATCAGGGCTAAAACCTTTCCAAAACACGCAAAAAGGGCAGGCCTCTATCGACCAGCATACGTCGCGCACATCGTTCGGCTTCTGAATTGCTTTCCTTGTCGAGCAGGTGCAAGGCCGATAAACGAAGCCGCCTTCTTCCACTCTAGCGCGTTCTTTCTACTTCTCAACCTAGGCTAGTTACTACTTCCTTCGTCTCTTCATCTGCATAAGTCGCGCTATGAGTGGCTACCCTTTTAGTTTTATCAAATTGTTCCAAATTCTTGCACTTGCGCAGAGGAATAGCTTCGCCACCTAGTCGGAGAAGGAAAATCCAACAGACTGAAAAGGGCGCCCTCCCTAGTATCGGCGTCAGGAGTAGCCAGCACCGGCGAGAATCTTGCTAAGAAAAGCAGGGCTTGCCAGATCCTTGGCCCTGCGCATTGGTTGACTTTGGCGAATGCCAGCCATCAACGAGCGCAATCTGGGAACAGAAGGAAAAGGGACCCGAAGGACTTCCAAAGGAAAGCCACAGGACTTCCAAAGGAACAGGAGCCCTGGCGGGCTCACCAATCCGAAGGGCAGGGACATCCAGAAGCCTAAGCACTTCACCCTGACACTACAAAGCAACCCAGTGCCGCTTGTGTAGTGGGCTACCCTCCAACCGACGCCCCGAGAGCAGCCAAGCCGATACTTTTCCAGGAGTGGGCGTGTAGATTCGCGGCCGGCTTTCGTTGCCATTCAGTGGCGCCTTTGTCTTGTGGGATTCTTAGAGTGTCAAATGTAGCGCCAGCTCACGGCGTAGAGGCGCACAGTTTCCCTCGCGGAAGATTGCTGGCGCTCGAACTCCCGACGGATGTGCGCAAAAAAAGGGCTCGACCAGGTCCACCCAGTGGAAGATAGCAAATCGCGCGCGCGTAGTAGCTGCATACGTATACTTATAAATAGTCGACTTACTTTGATGAAAGCCTACCGACATGCGGCCGAATTCCGACTCTGAGAAAAAAGCAAAAGGCAAAGCTTACATCATTTGAACCACCCCAGTACCGTCCCCATTTATCGACCGCTTGACCGCTGACTAATGCACCTACCCACGTCGCATTAGCTTCCATATTTTCATAGGGCTCTATGTCTCTTTCCCCCTGAGTTGCAAGCGCCAGCTCTTTGTACTCAATTAAACAGCCACCACATTGGGAAGCATAAGATCGCCGAGAAGTCAGCTCCTATCGGAAAGACAATACACGGAGCCATAACGAACCGGGCGGGAGACGAATGCAACAGCATGGGGGAGAGCGGTGGGACGCTCTACTACTCGTCCCCCCAACTAGATTACGCCGCGCGACTTATATATGATTGCAGTAGAGCCGAAACGCGCGACACCTTAAAGACAGAGGGGGCCGCCCCCCTTTCCCCCGGGCGATAGCGTGGCCTTTGCATCTCTCAAAATTTCGGGGCGTACACGTTCGTGACAGGGTCTTCTTCTCTCAGGCAGAGAGAGTAGATTTGATTGGGTTCATTTTTGCACGGTCCGCTGGCCAGGGGGAGAAGATGAGGCGAAGCCTGTTTGCCTGTCTTGTTCATCGGAAAAACTTTTTCAAAAGTATTCTTCTTCTTGTCAGGTCAGGGCTTATGCTCTTGCGGCTTAAGTCAAAGCAGAGACTGCAACCGCAACTGTCGTAGTGGTTAAAGATCTTGGCTCTATTTCTTGGAAATATGATCCATGGCGGCGCTGACTCTAACTCACACGCAGTTCTTGAAAATACTGCCTGTTGAATATGTCTCGCTACACATCCCTCGCGCAAGGGATCACTGCATACTCTCCAATCCATCTACAGCCCTTTGCCCGTGTGCACGCTTGCTGCTGCAAGGCGTTCGCACATGCTGGAGCGAGTCTAGCCCAGTAGACTCCACGCGCGATCGCGATCGCCGTATTTCGTTGGGGGCCGAGTATTAGAGCGAGGCAGCCAAATCTTCCTACAGAAGCTACATAGTCTCCCGGACTCCGGCCACACAGTGCAGGACCTTGTCGAGCGAATTCGCCTGCCTTGGCGAGGTCCTGCCTTGGCGAGTGAATTCTCTTGCATCAGTTTCTTATGCCTCCTCGACTTTCTCTCCCATCTAAAAAAGCAATGAAAACCGAGCAGAGCCAGAAGGAGGGGCGCTTTCCTTAATAGTACGCGTTCCATATCTGCCGAAGCGTCTTCTAACGCTAGGCAACCACTATCGGTGGCTGGTTGAGTTGCCCCGTTTATGCTTAGTTCCCCATTTACATTATAAAGGGGACCTTCCTCCGGAGGAATGCCGCGCGCCAGATAGTGACTGCCAGCTAGCCTTAAGTACGGGACGCAACCAGCTACATGGAAACTGGTCTTGCTCTCGCCGTCCACTCTCGTGTAGTGCTTGCTCTCGATCTCACAGTCAGCAACTGCACCGTCTGGTAAACTTAGATGGGCCGCCGGCACTGGGTCGGAGCCGGTGGCGGTGCCGGATACAATTATAGCCCTCCCCCTGTGTTCGAGATGAGTATTCAGGGGCGGCTTTTCATCTCTTCATGGAGGGCCTCACCCTCGTGAAGATGAGCGCCCTGGTGCGCCTTTTCATCTCTTCACAGAGAGCCTCACCATCACGAAGACGAGCGCACTGGTGCCCCTTTTCATCTATTCCCAGAGGGCCTCACCATCATGAAGATGAGCGCCCTGGTGCGCCTTCTCATCTCTTCACATACACAGAGGGCCCCACCATCGTGGAGATGAGCGCCCTGGAGGTGCGCCTTTTCATCTCTTCACCGAGGGTCTCACCACCGTGCAGATGAGCGCCCTGGTGCACCCTCTTCATCTCTGTACCGAGGGTTTCTTCCCCGGATATCCTTGCGGATGAATCCCTAGCAGCAGCCTTAGATGAGATTGGCCACCAGATTGCCGACACCGGAAGGAAGCTGAGGCAGCAGTCTTTCTTGGCTGCGTCGTAGCTCTGTCCGGGCTATCGAGCAAAGCCCTTCGCCCTTCACTTTCAAAACCATTTTCCGCAAAGAAGTAAATAAAACGCTAACGGCAACGCACTCCCATTATGATATTAACACTTATAACGCAGGCAAGCAAGCTTTAAAAGCTTGCTTACGTTAAAAAAAGGAGACCGCCTCAAGGAGCTTTCCCAAGGAAATGGCGCCCCTGAAGGAGTTTCTTTTTACTTTTATTATAGAGATCGCCTATAGGCTTAGGCCTCCCTTAAGGGCAAAAAGTGGCCCTTCTGGGAGCTCCTTAAGGAGGCCCTTGTAATAGAATTTGGCTCATCCTAATCCTAAGCACTTACTGAAGAGCCACCAGCTAAAGGCCTTAGCTTGCTAGCTTAGCCGCGGGGGCGAGCTTGCTAGCTGCTTAGCCAGGGCCAGCCTGCTCGCAGCTTAGCTAGAAATAAGATCGCTAGCTTCGCCGCATATAGTTTGCGAGGCTGGCCATGGTGGGCTTGCTAGCTGCTTCGCCATAGCTAGCTTCCTAGCCGCGTGGCCATCGCTAGCACGCTACTAGCTGCGTAGCCGTTGCTACCTCGCTAGCCCCTGCTTGGCCATCGCTAGCTTGCTAGCTGGCTGCCATGCTTCGCCGTAGCTAGCTTTCTAGCTGCTTAGCCATTGCTAGCTTGCTAGCTTAGCCACAGACAGCCCGTAAGCCTAGCCATAGCCACCCGCCCCAGCTTGCTAGCTTAGCCATAGCCAGCCTGCTGGCCAAGCCTAGCCATTGCCAGCGCCAGTGCTTGCTGGTCCATTCGGAGCCGGCTGCGCGTCGCGGCTAGCTTGGCTTACTGGCTTGCTTCGTTTGTCTTGTCTGTCTCGTTGCTTCTAACCTATGCCCAGCGATGCGGGCCCATGCAGGGCGCGCTCTCTGGGCCTGCAAAGATATAGGCACTGGCACGACATGCAATATTTAAGGCTTACTTTTTTGGCGGCATCTGGGGCGCGGTAAGTAGCTACTGTGTCGCTTTTTCTGGTATTCCGCTAAGCTGGTGGCCCAAGTCTGTCACGCAAGCGAGAATGACTGCAGAGCACGGCAGTAGCCTGAAGGCATCCGGCAATAGTTGGCGAGGGTGGCAGAGGCTGGCGAGGGTGGCAGAAGTTGGCGAGGGTGGCAGAAGTTGGCGAGGGTGGCAGGAGCTGGCGAGCGTGGCAGGAGCTGGCGAGTGTGGCAGAAGTTGGCGAGCGTGGCAGAAGTTCGCGAGAGATGAGCCGGCGGGGCACTCAAGTTTCGGAAAACATGTGAAGCGAAAAGTCGCTGAGTGGGGCCAAGGTCCTGGGCCAACCACCTGACACGGTCAAACTTCTCACTCGCCACCGGACTCATCTACAGCCGGCTCCGGTGCCCTCAACCACTCGTTCGCAGGAGCCAGCACGACCCCAAGAATTATTTATCCGGCTACTTCGTACTGGAACTATCTCTCTACCCAAGTAAACTAGCTAATTTCTAGTACTCAGAGCTGCAGCTGGCTGTTCCGTCCAAGACAAATAGTTTTTCTTTCTACTTCTTTCAAAGTGAAAAGGAAGGGCTTCCGTCTCATAATGGGCGCGGCCGCCGGCTCCGTGATATGCGATAGCACGGACAGTACTCGCGGTTTGGTGGTCTTGCTCTTGCTCCTCAAGGGCTTTGCGCAGCCTGTCATCCCACGAATGAATTCCAGATCCACGCTTCGCTACTGTGCGGTTTGAAACGGAAAAAAATCCACACTCACCACCCTGAAAATGGTACAGGCGCACGCTCGTTGTGTGCTCACGCTCTTCGCCCCATCCCCCCCGGCTTTCCCACCCACCCGTTGCTTGCGTAGCGCAGTTCATGTTGAACCCTAATGGGAAGCGTTCAAATCTAACCATATCGAAATATCTCGAGGTAGAAGGAGCTTCGCCTGCCTTCGAACTTTCATAATGCTTATCCATGTAGCTCTTATCGTTCCTAAAACCTCCGCCATGATTGCCCGCCACGACGCCTTCTCTGGAAATCTCCGCCTCCGTCATAGGGTCTGTGATGAAGATTGCAGACAGGAAGTCTTGCTCCCCCAAGGTGAGGGAGTGTCTGTGGCCCTTCTCCAGCCTTCGCAACATTGCGTGATACATTACTGCTGATGTCGCGAGGTTTAAAAAGCCGCCGTTGAGGTACTCGCCCAGGCCTGAGAAGTGTCCCGTGAGAGGTCCTCCCACAACTTTTAGCCTGTACCACCTCTTCCATGCTGTCCACGCCGCGCTTTTTAAGGGATTGAAGGGACCTAAGCCCATCCGCCCCAACGTTGTGTCAGCCCCTCTCAGGAAATATGGACTGCACGCATGGAAGGTACCACAGAGCCGAGCCGTGCAACCGTATATCGCGTCGTACATGGATCCTATCGCAACAGCGTCGCTATCTACAGGCGGCGCATTATCTACGGCGCAGCCCTCTGCAGGGACTGAAACAAGCTTCCAAAAGCGTTGGAACTGCTGGGCGGGGTTTTCGAGGTGGGTGCCAGCCTATGGCGGGCTTGGCTTCTGTTTCAGACACGTGCTCGCAAAGGTGTTTTCTTCAGCTCCTTTTTTTTCTTATTCATTCATTCATTCATTCATTCATTTACCTTATGTGGAAACTGAGACCGCGTTTTTTTTTGGTCCTCCTCATTGCTCAAATTCTCCAAATTTCTTTTCCCTGATCTCCCACTGATGGTTTTACTCGGCTTATCTCCTTAATGCTCAACTTGACATTTGATCTCCGCTCGACAGAAGATTTTTTCTTTGAACTTGCTTAGAGTCAGAAATACAGGGTGGGTTAGGATTTCTTGGCTCGCCGTCCGCAGGCGGAACCTGCATACTCAAGACGCAAGCGGTATTGTAGCTCTGAAGCGGTCAAGCTACAGAGATCACCATGAGTCAGACAGAAAAAGTTACTCTTAGTTATAGAGGACACTTTTAAAGATCATCCTTTAGTGAATGCACCTTGTAACTGTAAACATCATCGCTTTTTTAACTCGTCAGTAACGTAACGCTCTACTTGTACTTCTACTGGAGGTGTCTTAGTGCCTCGTAGTGATTCTAACGAGATCTTTCTAACTGAAGAGGAAATGAAAATGAAAATGACTGAATGAAATTTTAACTGAAGTAAATGAACAAGTAAATGGCTTAATGAACTTAAGATTGTACAAGTTTTTCATCATCGACTGGTCCTCTAGCTCTAGCGACTAGCGCGTATTTCATTGATTACGCTAGTCTATTGTAGAACAAGCAATAAACTACAGCGACTATTTGTTCACTTTTGATTCACTTCATAAATATTCTTGTACAAAATCAATTGAGGAAATTTATTTCCGTGCTAGATGAACATGAAATGCAAAGTAAAAAGCATGATTGAAGTTGCTAAAGGTAAAGACCAAAATCGACATTGTCCACGTGCACTACTAGTAGTACTTCTATTTCTAAAACTCCTACTTATAGAATAGTATGCTCAACTTGGGATAGCAGTAGCTTATTTACAGTATATAGTAGCCCTATTCAATATCCAACATTGCCAGAGCCTTGGCTCGCGCCATCATCGTTCTCGTCGATAGCAGCGACCTCTGCTGCCGCGTCGACACCCTTCGAAATCGCCTGCACGGCCTCCGCTTCAGGCTGAGAGGGTGCACTCTGTAGGCCAGCGTCGCTCTGCAGTGCCGGGACCCGATTTCCATCCACTTCCAGCGGAAAAACGCCCACCCTGAAGATGTAGTCCAATTCCAAAATATTTCATTAAAATAGAGATGTTGAAATTGAGTATGAGTTAATTAAAAGGTCTCCTAGCTGTCCCGTACTGGCACTCTGGAGTAGTCATATTTGATCATATTTCCAATAGATACTACTTGGCGTGGAGCAGCTAAGAACGAGGTAAAAACTATGAATATTTTATGCTTATGATTTCCAATACTGTAGCCGTAACGTCAAATTTAATCTAAAAAGCAGTATCATGATCCGCAAATCTAAATGCTATCATAGCACCCAAAGCCAACAATCTTCTCCAAGTAGACAATATCAGTACTACCCTCCCAAAAGTATTATAATAGAGTAAGGCACTTTTTGACCCGTATCGGGTCGAGTTGCTCGGGTTGCTCGAGTTGCCCACCCTAATTTTTTGCGCGGCGCCCTTCGGGCGCAGCTTTATGAGACTCCGCGAAACCTTAGCAGGAGCGTACGACCACACTGCGCGCCGTGTCAGTCTCTGATCCTTGATTTTCTTCGCAGTGCACCCTTGAGACAGGAGCAAGCAACCGTCTCGGGCTCGAGACTCATCTCAGCCACTTGCTTGGTCATCTAATTACTCACGACATCTAAAGAAAGGCTACGAATCTAGTGGGATAATCCACTTCCAACATCCGCCCCCCGCTGGTGCTTTCTCTAGTCTACTCACCCCCAAGCAAGGCTGGACGCGCCGCCCTATAAAGCAGACGGGGGCTACTCGCTCTCACCCCCGAAGTAGATATATTGGGAACACATCCGAAGAAAAAAGGGAGAGATCGTCACCGACTAGACGACACCACACGCCACAGGACAGCGACACTGACATCAAACAAAAACAACAACGGGCAGAGCCTTTCGCCCCCTTGGTTGTGCTTTAATAAGCGCGCGCTGGCAAGCTACAGAAAAAAGGCATAAGGGCCCAGGAGCCCTTCGCACCCGATTGCCCCTCTCATGAGCAACAACAAACGCAGCACGCCCTTAGCATTTCGCCACTTCGACCGGCTGGGTTTGTGCTCGCACCGCCCTGCTTCGCTCCATTTCGATGGAGCGGACACCCCCCGGCAACTCGTGGCAACTCGTTCCAGCGATGAAGCTCTTCGCTTCGGCAACTCGAGCAACTCGTGGCAACTCGAAACCCGTTATTGGCCTTACTCTATTAATATAAATATCTACACCAAGATCAAAAGTCTGAATATCTATAAAATGTTCCAGGATTCAGGGGAGGGACTCCTCCTAGCGTAGGGCGACGTGGGGGGCGTGGATCTCCGGGCCCCTTTTGAAGGCGTCTACCGGGGCGAAAGGCTTCCAAAGGGGTCCAAGGGGCCTCCTCCGCTCCCTCCCAGATGCCTGCGTGTACCCGGCAGGCCTCCTATGTGCTTCGCCTCCGCAGCAGTGCGCCAGGCGTTGAAGGCCTCCGAAAGCGGCAAAAGGCGCAAGGCTGGACCCCCTGAGCCGTGTGGCCTGTGCCCTCCGGGCCCTTGGTCATCGGCCTGCTTGCTCTTGAGACAGTGGCCGCCTTCGGCGACCTTCTACCCCGGAGGCCTCCAGCCTGCGAGCGAGGGCCAGCAGGGGCCAGGAGATCCCTACGGGGCACGCAGAGCGGCGCAGCTCGCGCCAAGTTTTGACGCCTTCCACCTTGAGAATCCGCGAAAAGCAGCGCGGAAAAGAGCGCGCAAGCGCCACCACAGGGCCAGCCACAGGGGGGGCGCCGCGCGTCCCTGTATCATATATTAGTGGCCAAGAATCTAAATGCCTTCAACAAGAAGGGCAGCAGCCTATTCGATAGAGTGAGATAAGCAACAAGTGCCTAGTACTTGAAATAACCGAGATACAACTGAAAGAAGAGGAATGTAGTCAAGACTCTTTTACTTCAGTCAGTAACTCGCACTCGCTAAATATTTTCACTTTTCGATAATTACTTATATTAGCCTAATAGCATTCACCTGGTTAGCAATTACTTTATAGCAATTGCTACCAGTTATTAATTACTTAGTAGTACTTACCCGATTTGGGTGCCTTCGCCGTATAGTGACCAGTGTTTCGCGGGTACAGGTGCTACGGATACCGTCATATGGCTTGCTGACTCTTCATATCGCACGGTTTTCTCCAGTTCGCTACATTGGAGCAGGATGCTGCAAGTTGACCGATCCTTCCTTGGTTGCATAGATATGATCTATGACTATGACTTTCCTCGCATAACAAGTATCTACTTATGACAATGACTTTCCTCCTATCTATGATTTTCCTCCTTGAAAAATTGTAGTTCATAGATTTATGCTCATAGATGAGCGGCCAACTTCCAACCCTTAACTAAAGGGTACCCAGTCCCATGACTTGAATGCCGAACTCTCAAACGGTTCCAATCTAAAAGGAGTGCTTTTCCTCTTTCCGTCTTCTAAGTAGGCAGAGAGACCAGCACATGGGCCACCCTTTGCGTATTTTCGTTCTCCCCTAAAAAACGTACTTATCTTTAACTTAACACAGGAGAAGCACGGCTACTCTTTCCGCCCCCTTCGTTATCATAGTGGCGGACAAGAAAAGGAGAAAATTCTACTCGCCCCTTTCATGATTGATCCAGCCTGCACTACTTCTTAAGAGGGGACCCCTCGAGATCGGAAGCTAGGTTAGTTACCGAATGCCAGGTCCATTCGATGGTCTGACCTCTGATACTGATGAATACAGGTGATCAAGATGGTCCTCTGATACGAGATAGGAAAGAAAAACAACACTTGTTGCCCATATCCAAGCAGTGGGCAGGAATGCGTGCCAACATGGCGTCCTGCCTCTCCTGAATTTCCTTCAGCCATTTCGCTGCTGGCATCCCCTTGTTGAGGAAGTGTGCGCTTGCCGACTCCCGTATTAGGGGCCAGATTTTCGACTGATTAAGGACGATAAGAGGGAACTTATTAAATCATATTAATCACGGTCTTCAGATTGAGTAGCCTACTCGCTACATATATTTTGGGGATCTCAGGCACAAGGGGGCCCCTACTGATGGGGCCTAAAGTGCGCAGGCACTTCCTTCCAACTCTTTGCGCAGGGTTGTAAATCGGCCGCATATCGATGGGCCTGCCCTTAGCAGGTTTCTGCTAGCGCTCAAGGACGATAGCATCTATTTTTTGCGCTTGCGCTCCTTTCCTACCGATGAGGCTGTAAGGCGTTCCTGTTCCTGGCGATCTGAATGCAGTTTATTCACCTTGTTGAGTATGAGAAGTGGCGCCTTTTCTTACTCTTTGGCGCGTTTTCTTTCCCTTAGACAAAAGTAGTACTCAAAGAAGATGTCACCTAAGATGAGTCAATGTCTAGGCCTCAACCTCATGCTCGTCTGCTTAAGCCTAAATCTGACTAAATCTGAGTAACTTAAGCTCAATTCGTGTTTAACCGGCCTTAACTTCATCTGCTTTGGACCCTGAATCCAGCCGCACTGCTCATCCAGCTGAAACACCTTGATGCCCTCGTTCTCCCAAGCCTTATCGTCGATGGCAAAGATGTCACCACTGAAGGATGGGACCCACTCCGTTCCGCGTTTTGGCCATTGCGTTTTTTAGAGCTACCCTGAACCCATCGCCATTCCGTGGATAGATGGATCCCGTTAAAATAAGCACTCGCCCAAGTAAGTACTTGATGCCCCAGCACAGCCCGAGAATCCGCGAGGCACTGCCGGCGCAGTTGTTGCACTAACTTTAGCAGGCTCTCTACTCTCACGTAGAGATGGAGTCGGGGTTTTTTGGCGCCTTAAGTTTTCGTGGTGTCTTTGTTATGATATGCGCCCGGATTGAAATTTCTATATTTCTCGGAATTCGGCTTTTTCAGTGACTCAAATCCCCACCGGTTAAGCGACCAGATCAGCACGTCAACTGCGCCTACTTCGGGACCTTCTTAGAGCTTCGAAAGCGCCACCATTGGTATAGAAATGCGGTCCAAGATAGAAGGAAACACAGAAAAAAGCATTTGGAAATGAATTGCTTTGAGCCCTAATCTCTTGGGCTCGGTTGCCAGTGTCCGGACCCCTGGTCGCCTTGCGAGAGCGTAAATTAGACCTAGCTGCATCCTAATTTGAAAACCTGCGGGAGGGGCCAGGATGGATGCACAGTGTGAAGATGGAATTTCCCCCGCTAAATAAAACCTACGGGAGGGGCCAGGAAGATGTCATCGATCCCTATTGAAGATGGAATAACAACTTCTTGTTCTAGCCTGCTTAAGAGAATCCCCCGGCTAGTTCCTTTCTGCCCCATGGGTTCCGCAAAGCCAGGACATTCACCAAAAGAACATCGACGAATTCCGGACTCGTAGCCTTTGCCCGAAGATGGTAGGGCTGTTCGATAGGAAAACCCTTAGAAGAACAACCATGTGGTAGGGCTGTTCGATAGGAAAACCCTTAGAAGAACAACCATGTGTTAGGGCTGTTCGATAGGAAAACCCTTCGAAGAACAATAAGCCATGCAGTAGGGCTGTTCGGTAGGAAAACCCTTCGAAGAACAATAAGCCATGCAGTAGGGCTGTTCGGTAGGAAAACCCTTCGAAGAAAAATAAGCCATGCAGTAGGGCTGTTCGGTAGGAAAATCCTTGGAAGAACTAAACTAAAACTGAAATAACCAAGCATCCCAGAGAGATCGCAAACTAAAACTGAAATAACCGAGAGATCGCACAATTTACAGCGTAGATAGCTATAGGCGCGCCATAGAGGTGTCGACTATCAAGAAAAATGCTTGAGCTACAGTTGTCCCAGCTGTCCGTGTGCAGGTGGTGAAAAGGACAAGAAACGCAAGGATAAGAAAGTCCTCAAAAGGCGAAGACGCAGGTAAAAATCAAGGCTACATGTCGTGTGCAATTCAATACTAAAAAGAACAGCAACCGCCTCTAGTAAAGGTACAACCATCATCATCATCATCTTCATCATCGTCAGCAATACTAACTTCTATGCAAAAATATTGTCTCGTAGATGGTCATGTTGGACTAAACTAAAACTGGAAACCCTTGGAAGAGCTTGAGCTACAGTTGTCCTAGCTGTCCGTGTGCAGGTGTTCGGGCCAGTTGAGGAAGACAAACACCCTAACCCACTTAAACGCCGGACATGAGTAATTACAACAAGCTTCAGAACGTCAGCCGTGGGTTGCTTTTTTTTTAAGTACCTACTAGGAAAAGACACAGTAGAGCTAAGGACGTTACTGAATTCTAACAAGGAAAGACATAAAAATCTTACTGTCAGAAGGATTACTGAATGCTGAATACTTCTGAGGGAAGAGATGTAAAAACTTCAATATTACTGAGGGAAAAGATATAACTGAATACTTCAATACTTCCATAAAAGCCAGCGTGGTCACGAAGTCGACGGAGAAAGCATGACCCATGACGATGTTATTATACGTGGCGTGAGAGTCGCTCTTCCCGTACACTGCCAGGCCACCGTAGTGGTTGCGCCCGTCGTACTTGCGAACCTTAGAAGACAAAGAAGTAGAAAGATGTTGTTGAAGAATCACAGAAGCTTACTGTCGTGTCCTCATGAACCTTGGATGTGTTGAGGAAGACTTACAGAAGATTTATTAATGTAGTTGTACTCTAGAGGACAAAGAACTAGAAAGATGCTGAAGAAGTTGCACAGGAGGGTTGTTATTCATCTTCTTAAGATGATTTCGAAGTATTTTTACAGACTACTGTAGACTCATTTTGCTTGTTCACCTTTCATCAAATTATTGTTATTTTTATTACCAGAAGTTCATCTTCGTAAGATGATGTTGAAGAACTACACATCACTAAACACTCAGTACTGTATTTTTGAAGATTGATGAAGAATTACAGATTACTAGAACTGTCTAGTATCAGTATGGCTCTTACGGTACAACTTCTTAGTAATGATTTGTAACCGAAGGAGACCAAAACCTTTACACTTCACAAGGGCACGCCTATTAGGCTGTAGCGACCTTAAGATACTCGCTGTTGATGGCCAGTCGCTGATGCAACTTCCAGAAGAAGCAAGACCCTTTGGAGTCCGTGATGTCTGGAGAACCCGCGGGAAGCCCTCCAGTGACAGGATGCAGGCTTTAGAGGTCGTCTCTCAATATCCCTGTAGTAGCAGTGTGCCTAGTCTAAATCGTGGAAATAGCGTAGGGTAGTTGTGTACTCTGGTCGAGTGTGTTGCCCTCTTCCCCCTTTTTTTTTCCCCTCCAGATCAGGGGGGCTTTCACTGACTCAGTAGAGCCCACAAGGATTGCGACGCTATAAGTCTTATTACTATGATAAAGATTATATATTATTCTTATTATTACTTATCATCCTGCTCGCACGCGACCATATCGCGGACGTGCGAGTGATAAACACTAAGCCCTTAAAGCCTACTCTTCCTGCTGTACACGATCAGGTCTCGGAGCAGCTTGCCCTTCTCGCCTTCCACAAACTTAGACACAGAATCCTTGCCCTTGTATAGACCACCTTAGACAACATCGCTACTGAGTCTATTTGTGTGGCAGGGCGCAGGTCGTTAAACTCAAACGGGCAAAGCGCTGGGCGTTCGGCGTTGGGTGTTTGGCTTTGCGCTGGGCGTCTGTTTTGGCGCTGGGTGTTACTTTGTGCCGCGTGTTGTGTGCTTTGTGTTGTGTGTCCTGTGCGCGCTGTGTGTTTTGATCGTGTCTCATGTGTTGCTATTGCGTGCTGTGTGTTGCGTGTTTTGCGTTGTGTCCTGTGTCCGGTGTGTCGTGGCTGGTGTGCTAGCTGTCTCCCGTGTGTCGTGTGCGTTGGTTGCGCACTGTGCTTCGTGTGTTGTCTGCTTCCTGCTGGGTGCTGGGTAGGCGCTTGGGCTGGATGTTCGTGGGGCGCGGGGTGTTGGGTGGTAGGCGCGGGGCGCTGGATGTTGGACGCGGGGCGCTTGGTGTTCGCCTGGCCGTTGGCCTGAAAATGTGGGGCCCGACTCACTGGAAAAAATCGGGCGCCCGATTTGATACAACCTAGGACCCGACTCGAAAAAATTTGGGGCCCGATTTAAGAAGTTTCCCGTTTTTGAGACCCGATTCCAATCTCTCCCGGGCGCTACTTGTATTCGCTCAGCTCAACGAAATGAGGAAGTCGACTAAACGACTTCAAAAACCAAGCTCAACGGCCAAACGACTTCAGAAACCCGGTCCAACGACTTCAGAAACCCAACGCAACGGCCCCGCGACTTAAGAAACCCTCCCGGCCCAACGACTTCGCGGACCTATTTCAACGACCCAACAACTTCAAAAACACAACTCAACAGCCCAACGACTTCAAAAACCAAACTCAACGACTTCAAGAACCCAACCCAACGGCCCAACGACTTCAAGAACCCAACTCAACGACCAGCGATTTTATTTTTCATCGCCCTGCCCCTGACTATATAACAAACTAGGTCAGGAATTGCAAATAGGATGTGTAGTATAGTCTACTTATTTTCTATGGCACATGTGCAGCACATTAAAATAACCTTTACACACCAGGTCGGAAGGCGTCGCTTTGTAATGAATTCGCCCAGCGGAGCCCTTGTGGCTCGCTAAAAAAAGAAACGAGTGAAAGGACGAAGTAAGAGAGTGCTGCAACTTCCTTCCTCTGGTCTAGTCTACTAGTACTAACCAGGTAGACCTTAAACAGAAAAGGAGTTGACTTCTATAGAACAATAGATGACATTTTTTCGCTTCTGCATCTGCATCTTATTTGTGCGGCTTCGAAAAAAGAGGAAAACAAGAAGAGAATCTGAAGAAAGTTAGTGGCAAAAGATTGGTGAATGTCCTTCCTTACGTCCTGCTCGGGACCTCGCGTAACTTTGTTGTTGGCGCCAACTTTCACCGGGTCTGATCCTTCATCATCTTCTTTCGCAAAAATTCGCAAGTCATCCTCCATTTTCTTGGCGGAGGTGGGTAGATCATCACAGGATATTAGAGCTAAGAAGTCTTAGGTGGTTGTCGAAAAAAGCCAGCGATCAACATGTCTGTTCTTGAACAAACAGCCAACTGCTCGACGAGAAGGACAGGCGACTCAGAAACTTGGGAGGAACGTGCTGCCCGTTCCTTAATAGAGTCCTGTATGGCGACACGAAGATAAGTAGTTGATTAGTGGCAGAGAGCACGATAAATATTTCAAGATAAAGAACAAGTCAGGAGGGATGGCCGTGTTCCTGGTATTCGAAGAGCTGACGAAGTGGCCGAGTATACTAGGGAATAATCTCAGATACTGGAGTACTGTGTTGCTCATTCGCCTAATGCTTTGAGTATTCGAGTAGCAAATTTTGTGATTGTGACTTCTGCTCTCTTAGCCCAATAACGTAAGGAAGACCGTAGTTAGCGTAAGGAAATCTAGAGTGAAGGAGCTGAATTCTACAGTATCGTAACGAAATCTGCTTTGCGCCTTCCTCTCCGATCTGCTTGGTATGATGTGCCACACAGTAGAAAGACAACAGCGCACAAATGTGCATGTTTGCCGCCTCGTCGTTTGCCGATGACATCACGCACTTGCACACCCCATCTGGTTCCGTCTTAGGCTAGAGGTAGGGCCTTGGCGTTTCTCTTTCGCGTTTGTTCTGCCTTTCCCCCTTAGGAGAGGCAAGACAAACGGCCGCAACAGGAACATCCTTCGCCCACCCTTAATTAAGCTCTCCCGTCTCTGTAATGCTTGTCCACTGTCCGTCCTCGGTACAGCCGTTACCCAGTCCTTGCTCTTTGCCGGCCTTTGTTAGACCAGTTGGCCCACCCCCGTAGGAGTTGGCTCATCATCCCTGTAGCGAGAGGGACCACTGTAGGGACCCCTAACTTATACTCATAGATGCAGTGAGGTAGGCTGGCGGAATCCCCAGTTGGTTCATTCTCCCTGCTGCAATAGGAATCCCGCAAGAATATGCCTGACTATCATCTCCTGGGACTTTTCAAAGTTAGCATCTTTATATAAAGGGGAAGCTGTATGAAAGAGTGAGATGGATTACTTCTAGCAAGAGAAGCCTTAATTTTGCCCGGAGGCTTTGGAGCCAGTCGTTGTTGGTAAGGATCGTATTCGCCATCTCCCCGCCGGGCCTTAAGCCAAATATTGAACCCGAGGGTACGAAGTTCTTTCCGGCTTCCATACGAGCCGCGCCACAGCACCCGTCGTCCGCGCCTTCGCCACCGCAGCCATCACATCGTTGAAAAAAAGCGAGAGCTTTCAGGCGGTTAGCTTCCTCCCCATCTTCGTCAACAAACATGGAAGATGCAGTCTTTTCCCCCCTCTCACGGCACACCATCGAGGCTGCCTTTTAAGCTACTTAAATACAGTTTAAGTTTTATTAAGTAGAAGAAAAAGGAGGGCAGCCTATGGTCTCCTAAGTACGGTTGGAGATGAAGGGAAAAAACGTCATCCATATCTTCAAAGTCATCCTCTGGCTCATGGGTCATATTTCGTTTCATCATTTCGTAAAACGAGCTGCTCGCAGGCTGTTCTCCCGCGCCAGATGAGTAAGGCTTTGCTAATTCTTGATACTCTTTATCAGTGCCTCGTAGGTAATTTTCGTGACGAAGAAAAAGTGCCCACAATACATCCAAGCACAATTAGATAAAACGCACTACAATTGTAGTTGTCCATCTTTATTTGTCCCATCCGTCTCTGTGTCCATTTTTGTACTTACTTGGAAGGAGACAGCTTTCAGTTTCAACAAGTGAACTATCTAAAAGGTGGATGCACTAAAAGAAGGCACATGGAGACAGGAGCCTATATACTATGTATAACTATAAATCAATATTGATATTCATAAATCAGCTAAAAGATCGATTGAGTGAGGCCTTAACACAAGCCCGGATCCGCGCCACTGTTTGCGAAGCCACTTTCGTACTCCTTCCAATCGGCTGCGGTGGCAATCTTTGCTCTGTTTGCTTCCAGGTAAGTTAGAGGCTATGCCATGCGTATGTCCCTGTCGCAGTTCAGCGTAACCATCTAAGAGATGCCATGTGAATTCCCCTGTTATGCCCCTTCCTGGTCACCCCAGAGACAGAATGGCAGCCAACGCGAGAGATTACGGCACTGCGCTTTTCATCCATTCTTATACCGTGTCGAGGGTCCCCTACTAGGTAGCCTACCAGCGGGGCGATACAGCTCCAACAGTGTCAGCCCTGACCCCTTTCCTACTGGGAAACGAGTGTCGGGCGAAGGTAGTGATGAAGAAGGAATGCATATGCAAGAAAAAGGCTGTTGATATATTAGCCCAGGCTTAAGTAAATCTCGCCACACGCGAAGCCCCTCGACTCTTCCTTGGTCAAAGTTTGCCACGCGCCCGCTCGCAAAAAATTGCGCCAAGCGTGCCGAAATCTGGTCTCGACAAGGAACTGGATCACGTGTCGCGTGTCCATGAACCAGCTGCACTGTTGCGGGTCCGTCAGCTCGTCTTTTCTCCCTTGGAGGTTTCTGGTCACGCGGCCCTTCATCCTCTGGGCAAAGCTGTCCCCTCCAGCATATGCTGAATGCGTCGACTCATTGAGAATGTCGATAGAAGAATGCCGCCCCCCTTCTTTGGCCGCATCTTTTTAAGTAGGTGGAACGACATTCCCATGTCTTTGCTCTCAATGAGTGGCATTATACATATACGAACTTGGAGTACTCCGCTATCCCTCCTCTGTTAGACCTCTCCCTTGGTTCATCCCTGTGGAAATCCCTCAAGAATATGCGGCAGCGTCTCCCTTGTATTGGGAGGTACTTATATGAGGCTGGGGGATTCCCATAGAGATGGAGTAGAGGAGGCCTTAAGCCTGAGGCCTCTGTCGAGTGTCCAGACTCCATATGCGCCCAGTTGTTTAGGGTGGTTCGGATCGGGCGGGCCTCCGAGAGGCAGGATTAGAGGACCTCAGCACCATGGCCATCACCTCCCCAATTTTAGTCTGTCAGCAGATCTTTGCTGTGCAGAGTGGATTCTCATCTCTAACGGCGATATGCCTCTGCAATGCTGTGGAAATGCCTCAAGGGCCGACCAAAATCCTCTGCATTTTTCCCCGTGTAATATTCTTGGGAGGACGCATTTGCTTAACACTTACACTTCTTGAGGGATGACCCTACGAGGACGTCCCTTCTAGTATAGAAGAAGGCATCAGAGGTGATGGGCCACTACTTTAGTATGAGTAAGAGAGGCCTTAACAGGATAACATATTCCGGGATACCGCCTTCGAATTGTTTCATGGTGCCCTCCGCCATGGCTAACGCCTTCAACCACAGCACTATCGTTGCAGACTGCTTATTAGATCTTCTTCCTGGAATAAGGACAACATCTACATCTTGAAGTTGAGAATCATCCACTAGCTTGGATCTGATTTTCCACGACCCTTAGAGAGGAGGGCGCGTCAAAGAAAATAATGCTTTATTTTGGAGATATATTCCCGGATGAAGCCTTAAGCTTAGTGTCGAGAGCCATCACCTGGAGTCTTCCTTGCCACGGTAGCGAAGGATGGGCGATGCGATCATCAATCAGCAAAGGCATCCACCCTCCGCGCTCCGTGAAGAACGGAACTTCGTATATCGCGATTGGAGAAAGTTGCGGAATAGGAGTGATCCATCCAAATTTCGCAAAATTAAGTATTAGCGCTCACGACTTGTCCTCTAAGGCTATGCTTTCTCAGAAGGCCATGTTTATTTCTCGGACCTGTTTTCTCCGAGACCACGAGTGGTCTCGGATCTGTTTTCTCCGAGACCACGAGTGGTCTCGGATCTGTTTTCTCAGAGACAACTCGTGGTCTCGGATCTGTTTTCTCAGAGACAACTCGTGGTCTCGGATCTGTTTTCTCCGAGACCACGAGTGGTCTCGGATCTGTTTTCTCCGGAGGCCATTTTTATTTCTCGTCTCGTCGGGGCTTCGAGATGTTTCTGGAGAAGGAGACTAACTAAGGGAGGAAGCCTTAAGATGAGCACCGCATATGCGTAGCAATTTCCAACGGCTCCCTGGCCAATGTTGTCCGGGTTTAGGCTCCCCGGTTGTTGATCCCAGAACTTCGGATCGAAAGCGGCCGCGTTACTCCCACTCCTGGGACACTGGGCGGCTTTTGGAACTTGCGCACCGGGACGCTCCCCAGCAAATTTGTAGTTCCAAGCCATGGAGCCGGGTATTACTTGCTCTGGGTAGTCTGCAACTTGAGGCGCGAACGCTTGTAGAAAGGTAAAACGCACGACAGCGTTATTTACGGGGCCACCATCGAAGCCCATGGTGATCCAGGATGTATCCGTCCCCAAGGTCCAGCACACCGGCCCAAAGGTCACTCTGAAAAAAAACATAGACGCCCACTGCTCCGCATTGCTTAACAATTTTCCCTTATCTCGCTGAGTCGCGTAAAGCGAAGCCCCACCAGAGGATCTTCCCTCCGTCTTCTCGCCACAAGTCATTTCCACGTTTTCAATCAACGAAGCAAATTCCCAACCTTGGTCGCAGGTCTCATCGTTCACGCCTGCTTGCAAGAAATGTTAGAGCTGCCACGTCTGCATCTTCCCTGAGAGGCATCGTCCCTGAGAGGCGCTTCTTTTTCAAGTAGCAAACGGGCCACGGATGGCGGTGAGGATGCTCCAACGGTCCCCTTAACAATGCTGTAGGGAGTATTCGCCTGCGGCTGAGAAGCCGACTTTTGTTTCCTCACCAAAAAAACCTTGTAAGCATTTCCTGTATTCCCTCACTGTCGCCGGCTCTTGTACACCATCCGCGTTGGGCACATACACCGTCGCGTAATTTGTCTTGTCCGGATACTGCTGGATATATTTGTCAGCCCTCCCTTTCAGTTCTTTTATCAGACTCTTGATCTTATACTCGTTTAGGCGCTCTTCCTTTCCCAGTAACATCGCCGATTGCGCTGCATTCGTTAAAGGCTGAGGCATTCCATTTTTAGGGAGCAACGCTAAGGGAGATAAGCATGCAAAAACGAAACGCCTCAGGCCTTAACGTGAAAGTCTGCAGAAACACAGCAAAGCCCTCACGTCGAATAGTATCTGCATGCTTCTCAAAATGTATAAAAGGAAAAAGCGTAATGCTCATACTCAAGAAGACTTGCTGAGGCAGTAGCTCCAAGAAGACTTGCTGCTAGTTTCATCTTGAGTATCAGTACTGGTGCACGATATAATTTTCCTTTCATAAAATGAAAACGCATTGTATGAATATGAGGGAGCCCGCGAAGATGCTCAGGGGCCAACGCGGTAAGCAGGAGCACCAGGACCGCGCATGAAACGGAAAGTAGCGCGATTAATCTGCCACACAGGAGACGCGCGCTTCCAGAATGTGGCCCTCCAATATTTTCATTGCGTTTCTTCGGCTTATAATTGTAGCCCTCTCCTGCAGAAGGAGTTATGAGCTCAGATTCCGAGTCAATACTAACCGCATCAATATCAACCTCAGTTTTACTTCGCTGCCGCAAATGATTCGCGTAAAAATCGTCGGCGCTGTGGTCCGGCTCTTTGGACTTCGTCTTACTCCTTAAGCGGGCCATTTCTGTCGTGGGCTCGTCATCGTCCTCGATGTTTACCTGTGTTTTGCTTTTGCTGCGTTGCCGAATCTCAGCATCAAGAATGTCTCTGCCGTAGTTTTCATCCCCGATCTTCTTCGGCTCATCCTCCTTGGGCGGCAGTGGTGTATTCTTCTTGGTAGGTGGGGATCGCTTGTGCTTCTTTGAACCTCTCCCGCCTTTTCGCTCCTTGATGTCGTCCGTGGAGGACGAGGAGAGGGGGCTCTCCTGTGGTTGCCTTCCCCCACGGTTTTGCGCCTCCTCCATGTGGTCGCGCCCTTCTTCGTCCCCGCTGTTGCTCCGGCGCAAAAATGTTGGAAGATGCGACGACATCTTCCAGACCATGCGACGAGCAACCACGAGCACCCAAAGGCTAGGCGGCTAGCGGCCTCTGAAGGCTTGAGAGGCAGCCAAAATGTTGACTGGGACACCAGCTCCAGCGGACCTGGTGTCCTTTTCAGGATGGTGGCTCCTCAAAAAGAGCCGCTGCTGGCGTTGTCCAAGAAAAGCAACGACCACAAGAAATTGTTGTGAAAAAATCCACTCACGGCCGCAACACGTAGAGGCGACGAGAATCGTCCACTCAGTTGCACTTTTATAGAGGCGGCGAACAGCCTCAAGAATTACTACTTAATAGCGCTTTCGGCGTGAGATAAGTGCCAGAAACACGAGAGGCAAGCGCGCGCTTTTTGATTATTGAGAACGGAGCTTTTATGTGTGGAAGAGACGGAACCAAAGCGAGCGCACTTTCCCAGTCAGATGAAACGAGTTGCAGAGAAGCAGCGCCTCTCCCGGCTTTTCTACTCGACATGAGTGGTAGTCCTACAGTGGCGCCAGGGTCGACGAGCCTTCGTTTTTTTTTGATTTTATAGAACATGGCGACAGCGAGGCACACCCGAAGACCGCCAGAGACCAAGCGCAACAGCACAGAGAGGCGCCGTGCCCTCGTAGGGCCCATCGTTCGCACCTCCTTTACAACGAACGGGCGGGCGGCGCTACATGTGCCGGACGGCCAGCGCACCCAAATCTACACGCCGCAAGACCGAGCGAGCGCCGCATAGCCCCCAGACTTGAAGCCCCTGCCCTTCCCGCCTATAGAGCAGAGTAGGGGTTGCCATGTGTTTCCTCTTGCGTGGCGCGTCCCGCTGAGATAGCGCAGCGCGTCACGCTAAAAAGGCCTGCTGCTGTTTCGACGCTACCACGATCCACGTGCGTCTCCTACCTCGTTGACATTTATCGCGTGCATGCCTGCTACAGCTTCGCTTCAATTTTTTTCATTCAATGCTCGCAATTCGTGAAGGCCTCTCACTCGGTTCCTGCTTTGGGGTGCTACCGCTTACGGTCCCTCATGCTCAACATCGGTAATCATGCGCATTCCCTGTACGTGAAAGCAAAAAAAGGCTTGACGATATCTCCTGTGATATAATAACCACGCTGATGGCGATCTAAAAAAAAATCACTGGCACGGCATCACTCTAGCTGTTTCTGTCTGATTATTTTGTCACTTTCGTGCTCGTAAAACTATGAGAATTCAAAGTCTTGCTACTTTGAGGCATTGTTAGCATGTATAACCAAAACTATAATTCGTCTTAGTTCCGTAATGTGGGCCGCTGCTCGTAGGACCGCGATGCCGATGGACGTCGAAGTGGTAAGTACATAAACTGTCCCTGCTGTTACGTGAAAAATGTAAAATGACGAAGACCACAATCTACAACTTTCACCTGTTGCCTGAAGTAGTTTACTGCTGCGGGCCATCGAATTGATTGACGCAGACGGACAACGACCCGGCCAGAGCGTTCCGCCGCCAACACAACAGGGGCAGGAGCTGCGGCCCAATGGAAAACCTACAAGAGGCAACGCCCCAGCGGCAGTGGAAGCGGAAAGCCCCAGGCAGCTCCAGAACCATGCGACCAAGCCGGCCAGTATTCCTTTCGGAGAACACTACCCGCCGCCCCGTTTCCGTTTACACTGCAGTGGAATCGAGAATCCTGCGCCCCCAATTCTCGATTCCACTGGAGTGGAATCGAGAATCCTTTACCCCCAATTCTCGACTCCACTAGAGTGGAACTGAGAACCCTCTACCCCCAATTCTCGACTCCACTAGAGTGGAATCGAGAATCGTTGAGGGTTTTGAGCACCTTCCCTAACTCTTGTGTCCACTGCGGTGGAAACGATAATTGTCGAGGCCTCGACAATTCTGGGCTCCACAGCAGTAGACTCAAGATTTGTGGAGGGTCACCAAAATGCTCGACAATTCTCGACTCCACTGCAGAGGAGTCGTGGAATCGAGAATCTGACACTTTCGATTTTGCAAACCCACGACTCTCGACTTCACCACAGTGCAATCGAGAATCTGGCAATTTTGATTTTGCCAGCCTCTGATTCTCGATTCCACTACAGTGGAATCAAGAATCTTGCGACTTCGATTTTGCCAGCCGCCAACCCTCGGCTCCGCCAGAGTGGAGTCGAGAGTTTGGCAGTCTCGATTTTGTCGACCCCGAATCGTCTCCGGGTGCCTGCGCTTCTTCAATGACCGCGCGCAGCCGCGCACGAGGGTACGCAGCAGCCTACTTCTTCAGAGATGCAGAAACGTCGGAACAAAGTGCCACATAATAGTGCTTCGTCGTGATCAGTTAGTTACTTTCTAGTACTCCACCTAAGAAAGTGGAAAGAGAGTAGCAGAACAGCAGATAAAAAACTTTAAAAGGTTTTTTACTGGGATAAGGCATAAATGCCTCTATTTGAGGACTAGCTGAAAAAGTTTCTCGCGTCAAAGAGGGATCCTGTTGTCGTTTCAAAGAACGGAAAGGTAGAAAAGGGAGGTAGATATTTTTGGAAGAAGATGAAAAGTTGAAGATACAAATAGACAAGAAGAATATGAAGAGAAACAGGCGAGACCCTGACCCACTAGGCAATAAACCTGTTATAAATCACATTTCAGTGAATGTGAAAGAAAGCGAAAACAAGACTCCTTCTCTGCATCCGCCTTTTCTTCGAAAAGTAGTTTAGTCCTTTCTTCGAAATGTAGTCGTAGCACTAAGAAGTATGATGGCTATGCTTCTACCTACGAGGGCCCTTAGGAAACGGAACGCTGTTCCGGTCGTTCATCATTCCAGCTTCGAATAATTTTTTCTAGTAGTACGCGACGCAAAGCACCTCCAGGCCACTCAATTTTCCTGTGATGAATCTTCTGCCGACAGGTGGGGTAACCACCTGCATACTCAAGCGGAAGAGGCGGTACTACAGGATGCCTGTCGGTGGCAGACTCATCTTCAGTTTGAGGAATACAGGTTACGCCTGTGAACGGCGAAAATGTTATTTTATCCCTACCCTGCCTACGAAAGCAGTGCTGTCCAGCCACTGGCGCCCGGGCCCCCCACTGCCACTCTAATGGTCACATTTCCCAAGAGCCAACCTCCGACTAGTTTTACCAATAGGTGGATGCACGTTTTGGCGACGAGGGCGACTATTGAAGAAGGAAAACAAATATAAAAGCGCAGGCCTCTTCGTAGTGCAACAACGCATACTTGGACAACAACGCACACTTAGCACAGAATGCCTAAAAGTGCCCCACACCTTTTTACCATTATCTCATAGAAGGACAATGACTAGCGTGGTGGCATAGTGGCCTGACATTGCAGCTATAGGACGACGGAGCTGCTAGGAGTCAGAGCGGTCGCATGACAGTTGTATACTGTTCTTGTACTCATACAGTGCGCGTCTCCTTGTGCGCCGCTTATTTGGTGCACTAGGCATATGCCTATCGGCACAGACCTATAGCTATAGGCATAGGCCTAGTGCACCAATTGAGCAACTAAGCTCGTGTACGTAACTAGATACGGTAATACTTCCTCGTCGAGGCACGAGCGCACTCGAACAGGGCCGGCAGCAACTCGCTAACAAGAACGCAGGGGACCACCTCTGAGACGTAGATTGCGACTGGATCCTCTGGTGGATCCTCTGGATGATACAATGGCGAAGCGGTACTGACAGTGCATAGACAGTGGGAGACTTCTTTCCCTTGTTACAGTCAAGAAACGGCTATAACGTTTTTTGTCGCACCCTGTACGTATGGCGCTATTGACTTACTTCGTATTACATATACAGTTCCGCTCTATCTAGTACAGTATTTGAGTTTTTTGATGTGGCTTTTCTTGCCTATTGCTCTTTCTAGTTGAACTTTACGTTCTTGCGCATTCTTCTATTTCTAGCACATCATACTAAGTTTTTCCGACTCATTGATGTCTGAGCCTGCTGAGTGTTAACTTCTACAACGTCCGCATAAAACCGGCTGAGCTTCGCAAGTATTATTATTGACGACGAGTTGATCCATCCATGTAATAAAGTTAATTACTCAAAAAGCGTGGCCTCACGCCGAACCCGTTGTAATGCCATCGGAACTAAAGCCCGATGACGAATGTTGAACATCCTACATCGACAGCCGATTAAGTTCAAGAAATGACAACAAAGAAACGTGCCGAAGCTGTAGTAGCAGTTAGACATCATCCACATCATAGAACAACAAGAAGGCAGAGACGCCACTTCTCTGAAGTGATGGAAGTAGTCATAGTAGTTGGCTATCTATTCATCAGCAACAGGCCCACTCGACCCAAGAATGAAGCTTGACGAGCAGGAGTATCGTCTTACACCCAGCACGCCGCGTCTTGAGTTGGCTACGAGTCATGAGTTTGAGGCCCCATCCTCTAACGCTATCCGTGTCCCCCAGCTCCATTCTGCCCATCCTACTTCCACTCTGAAAACTAAAAAGTCGTGCGGGGTGATGTCCTCCGCCATCTTCCGCTACTTCCGTCTACAAAATACGAAAAAGGCAGCACTATCTACCCCAAACGAGGCCGCCTTCTGTGATTCGTTGAACCCTAAAAACTGCCGCAGCTGCATTTTCCTCCCAGCCGAATGATATCAATTATGATGTCTCACCTCTACCCCAATGATATCGATAGCCATCTCCCCTCCACCTCCACAACAGCATCTCCCTGCCACCTCCACAACAGCATCTCCCTGCCACCTCCACCACAGCATCTCCCCTCCACCTCCACAACAGCATCTCCCCTCCACCTCCACAACAGCATCTCCCCTCCACCTCCACAACAACGTCTCCCCTCCACCGCAATGATGTGTCCATCCCACAGAAATTAGATAATCGCTCCATGTTCCATCGAAGTGATGTCTTCTCCCCACCTCCTCACCACTTCTGTTCACCTTTTCGAACAGGCGTGCCGCTACCTAGGAACCGCTACTCCCGCCATGCGCTTCTTGTAGAGCGGGGCCCTATCTTGCTTCTCGTAGACAAATCCGGCACATCCTTCGCTGCCTGTCGCCACATAGTCTGCGCACATCCTTGCGCATTTGGCTAAGTGGTCCAAATCGTTGTCGCTTGGGTTGTCGCGAATGATGCGGCTTAGTTAGACTCAGCTTGGCTTCATCTTGGTCCCTTCCTCTCGACCCCTTTCGCCCAGTATTTCATGAGAATACAAGGCAAAAGGGGAGCAAGATGCCGAGAAAGATGGAGAAAAGCTAGCCATAATTTAACGTGGCAACCCCTCCAGGCTGGTAGCCTTTCCATGGAGTGCGAAGTGATGCTGTCCAAGGCATCCAGAGGAGCAGCGGTCGTCGATGTTGTGGTGGGAGTCATGATCGTTGTAGCGGTTCGTCGTTGTGGTTGCTACGAAACGGGCAAAACTTGGATCCTGCCCATTGCTTTCCTGGTCAAAGTTCTTCACTCCATCAGCCGTCCAGACTAGCAAATGCGGGAGCTGGGTCAGAGATGTGCGAACTCCCGCACAGTGATTTCGTGACGCCTGGACGGGCAACGGATGGCTTCTCTTTATGCCAATATGTGGGACTCTTCGTGATCGTGTAAGCAAAACGCTGTGTAGTCATGTTGGGGCTGTCCTTCTGCCTGTCTGCTAAATACCATCAGCGAAGTTTCCGTCTGCGCTGGTCGCAAAGGCTTCCTCAGCCGTTGTCGCCAGGCATCCTCAACCAAATCCGCGCTGGTCGCAAAGGCTTCCTCAACCGTTGTCGCCAGGCATCCTCAACCAAATCCGCGCTGGTCGCAGAGGCTTCCTCAACCGTTGTCGCCAGGCATCCTCAACCAAATCCGCGCTGGTCGCA